TTCATCAGACATGAGGTGATTATGTGCGTTGTTTATTTTGTTATTATTGTATTTTATCGAAACACAATCGTGATTATGGAATGGCGTGGAGCCGCGTGCGCCGGTCGCTTCGAGCATACAGCTTTTTATCGTTTATTTGCTTTTGTCGGATTGGAAACACTTATAAAATGATTAGCGTCGAATTACGTCACGATTTTAATGGAATTGTTGACGATGGAAGTTTCTGACAGTGTTGCCAGATGTAATTAATAAAACGAATTAAAGTTTGTTTGTTTTATATTGGCTAATATGGGTTTGATTTTTTTACAAGTGATGTGATCCGATTTACTTAAAAGTCATAACTGTTTGCTTTATTTAGACATAACTGTAGTACATTTTTGACACATAAAGATATATTTAATCAACTTCTTACTTTACTTTTCCAAGATAACGTATTATAGCTTCAATCAAAATGTGAGATCTCTCATTAAAATCAGCGGAAGAACAATTCTGTGGAGCGTAAGCATCTAGCTGACTAAGCATATATTTCTAAGTGATATCTACCTGGCGAAGCGGCGGCCGTCCCTCTCCATTGCTCGCACTCCGCTGATTGCGAACCTCGTGCCATTTGCATCAGCCATATCGCTCGTACAAGTATACTCCACTACAACGCGCCTTATATTTCTGAAAAAAAAAATGGTCATGCAAGATATTGTAAGATATATTATAAGATAACAACCACGTTAAAAGATGGAATAAAAATAAATAAAAACAGGAAAATTTTAGTTTCTCAGAATAAAGGTGAGATTCAAGAGCTGAATGTCAACAGTAACAGAGTAACAGAAAACGAAATTTAAGCATCGAAAATATTTAATAGAATTAGAGACAAAATCGTTAGCATTAATAAAAGTATTATACTATAAGGGTAAATATAGGTATTTCGGCAGCTGACTGTACTTCGGGAAAGTGATCTGAGATCTATGCAACATCTTAGTAATTTGAAAGCGTCGAGCGGCGCCGGGCCGCCTGAAAAACGAAAGCAACCTTCCGGAAGTCGTCTTCGACTCTAGGCATCGTAAAAATGAATCGACAGTTTCTATACATCGACATCTTTTGAATAATATTTTTATATGTAATCTGTACTTTCAATTGAGTTTTTAAATAAGATTTAAGTTCTCAGAAATCAGCTTGAAGTTCACTTTTAACTCTATCTCTATGATTAAAAGGAACGATTAATAATATATTCAAAGTAAATCAAATACAAGAGGCTTTCGTGTTGGAGTAAAAACTACTTTAAAGTAAAAACTTTGATCCCCGGGAACGGTGCTTTGAGTCTTTGAAGTCACGACGCCCGCCGCAATATGCACTCGCAAACAACGTCTATCCCGGGATGAGAATTAGCTATTCTTTGTGCCACTTATTTACAGAGTTGGATATCACTATAATACTGACTAGCTCATCTCTATAAATTCACAAACCTATCTCGGGTAAATAGTGAAAGATATAGATAAATGAGAGCTAAGGTCACAATTCATCAAATGTTCGAATTAATTGTTATATTATTGTAAAGGAATATTATTAAATTTAGAATTAAATTTTTGTATAGAGCTGCAAGTACAACAATAGTATAATTTAAATATTATAAAAGACCTTGATGACGTGGCACACAAAGTTCTCTAATCTCAAAGGATGTCAGGGTTCCTTGCCGCAGTATTCATTTGCTCAGGCTAATCCATCCTTTGACTTGGATTTGTCAATTAAGAACCAAAAAACTACAACATTTTTAACTTTACAGAACATAAAACGTAGCGTATGTCTACTAAAGCCTGCTAACAAGTTTCGGTTGTAACGAAATGACCTATTTACAACAGCTTCTTACAATAGCTAAGTGAATTATATTCTTCTTATTTTGGTTATGTCGCCTAATGACGGTTGACGTACATTACTGCAATTAACAGTGTACAATAATAAAACTTCGTCTCCAATGTGATAACCAGAAAAGCGCGTTCTACTGATATATTAATTTCCACCTTGTTGATAATAAAATGTTGTGTAGTTCTTTCGACAATCCCCCAATAATACGAAGACTAATTCTGCTTATGGTGATCTTTAAAAAACACGAAGGAACAAAGTGACAGACATATTAAGTAACACAAAACGATCAAAATATCTCGATGTTTTGTGACACAACAATAGCTTATTGTCAATGATGTCGTTAAATGTTATATACAAAGCCATAAAAACTTCGATACGAAATCGACACGCAATGGCAGTAAGCCGGTGTGAATTAAAAGATAATAAGCCATACGTGACAAATTTTAATAAGTGCCTGCCATGGGAGCGGCTATAACGCTCAAAACTAGGATAACCAGGTTTAATGTCCCGGACTGTTTAGCTTTCTCGATGGCAATACTATTTTAAGCGTACGTACTCGTATGTTAGGATAAGACGACGAGACTTGTTTCGTTAGGTTAGGTTAGCGATTTTAACTTTCAAAAGGTATTCTTCTTGTAACTAATTACAATAAGCAATAATAATATATTAATAATTAAATACCAATCTGTCCAATCGTATCTAATTGATTTGAGACGAACATTATGTTAGGGAACCAATGAAAGAAAATTGTGGATATGAATGGAGGAAAAACAGGAAATCCTAGAAAATAATGTAAAGTGGTATTCCTACACAATATTGTTATGTGTTTCTGATACGAGCAATGTTATTTATTTGAGTTACATTACTAAAATAAATAAAATTTAATGTTAAAAATAAAATAAAAAGCAACAAATATCCTAGCCAAATGTCGTGTTCAAACTTTCCATTAATTGCTAAAAAAAATAAAATGCAATAATTCTGTTCATAAGAATTTCAGAACAATATTAACTTAACAATGATTAATATTAAAAATATTAAAAGAAAAACTTACAGTATTTCCAGATGTAAACTAAACTGCAGTTATCCAATAATTGACATAACATTCCACTTTACCTTATTTTTGCAATAAGTTTTTGTAACACCGTGCAGATTATAGTCGACTCAAATGTCATTCTATGTCACTGGCGATGTTATTATAAAACAAAGAAGGTATTTTCATAAAAACTTAAATTGTCATATATGACAGTTTAGACGTTAGATTCTGATATTATTTTCGTAGAGTTAAAAGTTAGTAATAGAATATTTTCTTTATTCAATCAGTGAGATATTTTATAAGATGGGAGTTAAACTCAAGGCGTTAGAAAGTTCACACTCAAAGACGACAAAAAACAAATATTTGCAAATAAGTGGTTTGTGTGTGGTGTTGTGCTGATTTAATTGGATTCGCCTTCCAAAAGAAATCAAACTGATCATACCAGGTAGGAATTTTTAAAATGTACTAAAAAGTAAATCATTTTTGGCAATAGTGTATTTTAATTTCATACTATTCGTCACAAGCCCGGCTAGCTCAGTCGGTAGAGCATGAGACTCTTAATCTCAGGGTCGTGGGTTCGAGCCCCACGTTGGGCGAATTACTTTTGGGAATTTTTTCATGTGAATTTTTATTTTTTACTCATTATATTTCATTAGAGGTATCAGGCTTCTAAACTACAGTATGTACAGAAGCAAGGAAAATTTTATGATGTTAAAAATTCATTACTATATTTTATTCGACGAAATGCGTAAAAATACGATTACAACGCCACCTAGTATGAAATATTGTAATCATGACCCACTTAGAAATTTTGCTTCCAAATTATTACTCAAATTTATTGCTAGATGGCGTGATATCAAAATTGTTCCTTCTAAGTTAAATATATCAAACCTATTTATTTTAAATCGAAAGTCTATAAATGTGACTGTTATTCAATGATTGTAATTTAACTGAAAACAAAAAAATAAATAAAAGATCACACAAAATGAAAGAAGGTAAAAAAAGCCAACATCACGCGGTGTTCCAAGGCGGTCACCCATCCAAGTACTGACCGCGCCCGACGTTGCTTAACTTCGGTGATCGGACGAGAACCGGTGTATTCAACGTGGTATGGACGTTGGCAACTAATTTGATGCATTTATAAGTCGTATATCTGGTTAACTCGATAGATGACAAATTAATTAGCAATTATTAATATTTTTACAACTAGTTACTTCAACACAAACCTTAATGGGGATCTGAAGAGTCGCCATTATTCTGCCATATCTTTCGGGTGGCCATTATTTCTATGACACTTGAAACTAATTTATCGCGTCACTAATATCACCGCTGCAAGAAGTTAGCTATACTTACCTTAATACTAACACTAGGTGCAGACACGACCTTCACGTCAAACCTGAGATCCCACTTAGAGACACAATGATGCACTGTTGTGTAGTGAATGATAAGTACCAAAAAAAAACATATCGATGTTAAACATGCACGATATAAATTTAAATTCTAAACATTTGAGACACTTTAGTTGATTCGTTCATTTTCATGCAACAGAGAACTTGAAGACTACACCTACATTTTTCACATTGCTAAAATTCCATTTAGCTTAGTCTTTGTAATTGACAATATAAAATTTATAAGTTATACTAGCAGTGCCCCGGGACACCGTGCGCGCGGTATTAAAAAACTTAATTAGTAGCCTGTGTTGTTCCAGACTATGCCAAATCTACATCCATGACTATTATGAAGACTATCTTCATCCATGCCAAATTTTATCGAGATCTGTTTAGCCGTTCTGGAGATATCTTCAAACAAACATTCCTCCATCTATCATAACCATAAACATTTACATTTATAATATTAGCCAGATAATAGATGTCGCCCGCGACTTAGTCTGCAAGGGATATAAAAATATTATAAAGATTGGTCCAGCCGTTTCGGAGTATAGTAACTAATATTGTGATATGAGAATTTCGTATATAAGATAGGGACTTGCATTTAACGAACATAAATCTTTACATTCAATCTTTTAGTATACATACTTGTACAATAATTTACTCAAAGCATTTAATCTTTGTATCATCTTCAACAAAATAAAGACGAAAAGAACATGCAGTACAGTCAACATCTCGGGTAATTGCTTCCTTTGCGACGTTATTATTGTAATTTGTGTTGTTTATATAAAATACAGTTGACATGCGATGTATTGTTTATTTCGTTGACAACTGTATACTTCGAAAGTCAGATGGCAGGATTAATCTTCCTTAGTGTTACCATTCTGTGTAAGTAAAACAAATATATTTAGTACTTTCTATAATTGTTATTCTACTTCATAAAATAAGAATAAAACTTGTATCACGTCTTATATCACGTTTTAGTTGCTTCTAAATTTAGTGAAGCAATAAATACAAAAATGGATTTTGGTGAAGTAAAAGACACTGCTGTTGTTACGGATTCGAGTAAAGAAAATGAAGATGTCGAGGTGCAGCATACTATTGTCGTATCTACGAAGTTGAAAAATAATAATAGAAGAGGATTACATAACTCGCGAGATGGTAATTAAAACCTTTTAGATTTTTATTAAGCGCTAAGTTTTTGTTTCGTGTAAACGGATGTTAGCAAGATACATTACTGGCACAAAAACTAAATTGTGTTCCAAGTTGAAATATTTAATAACCGAGGAAAAACCCCTCGTGTAAGATTGCGGTTAAATAGTTAATTATTTCTTTTTTATTTACAGATAACATAAATCTTAGTCGTACTGCAAATTTAAAAAGAGAAGATAGCGGGGAGGTTCCAGTAATAAAAGGTGACAAAGCAGTCGAAACAACAGCAATCTTTACCCCTGATACACGAGTTAAATTTCCAGATAACACTTTTAATGCATTCACGAGACACAATCCAACAGACGACAATGATGTATATCCAAATCTAGGATTAAATCCAGTTCATTTCAAACCATCTAATTATTATAATAACATGAATTGGTGGAATCAAGAAAATTCAAGAAATTTTAACACATTTAAATCAAGAAATGATAGAACAGGTTATGCTCAAAGAACTAACTTTAATAGAGGAAGCAATGATGATGGTGTTAGAGATTTCTTTTGTATGAAATGTAGAGAGTTGAGTAGAAGACAAGGATATAGAGGTTGTGAACAACTACGTAATGATCCATGGTATGAGAATACAACACCAAAGATGAAGATAGACGGAAAATTAGCGAAATTAAACTAATCGAGTCATTATTTTGTTCGGTACACCGTGACCACAGAAAAAACACGTTTCAGATTATATCTATATGACCTTGAGAGAGTACAGACATTGTTTTTGTATTTTAAAGTTCATTGTCTCCAGTAAATTTAAAATTAAATTACGAATTACTAATTTTGTACTTACATTATTTTATTTCTTAACCCGATTGTCAGATCCTTCAGCTTGTGGTTTGTAAAACATATCACTAGCGATCTTTGTGTAACAATATCTTGGAAGTTAAATTGATATTTGACAACATTTATTACTGCTTAGAAGTGTCCTATAAGTCGTAGCCCTTGACATAAGTTTCATAGTACAATCATATTGCGAGAATTACCTACAATTCCGTTGTTGAATTACAATGTTCAATTAAAAATTCGAATCGGTCATTATGACACTACTTAGCTGAGAATAATAGGAAGACAATTATAAGAACATCATATTTGATGTACATATGTATATGTCTATTTCTTACTGTATTTATTATTAATATAATTTTGCTATTGTTTTAATCAAATCTTTATATCATAAGAACTGTATTCGTAGTCATCACTCATGTATCATCATTATCATCATCAGCCACACACTGCTGGATGGCCTTCCCCAATGCCTCCTACAGTATGCGGTCCATAACTTCCCGCGATGTTCACCATGGTATGCCAAGTTTTAAATATCTAGGTTTGTAGTTTAAATAAAAGGATATTTTTTTTATAATTTACTTATTTATAACTTTTTAAATTATATAATATACAGTACTGCAGTATGTATAATATGAGATACGATAAACATTTTATGATAAATGTAAAAGACGATAATAAAATTAGGAATGAAAAAGGAATGGGACAAAATGGATGTAGGTTATTGTAAGGGATAGGGGATCTTATAATATATTTTTTTAATTATGTACAGCGTATTTGGTAATTCTGCCATTGTCGTTGACGACGGTCTCCGCACCGCGCTGGTTCTGTGGAACACCGTTGTTGTTCAATGACGACGCGTACGATGAACTGGACACGCTGTAGAAACCTTGTCCTTGTCTGTTTTGAGGCTGTCTATTTATCGTAGTGTCCACGTTGGGCATTTGCTGAAAAGTAATTGATTCCTTTTAAATGTAAATAGATCAATTACAACAAACTACTTTACAACTTTCAAGCGGAATTTGGTCGTGTGGTTGCAAGTTGACTTAATCCAAGAGTGTCGCTGTTTATTCTTTTGTTTCTTTGCTTGTATCTGTCTTGCTTATGTTATAAGAAGTGTATCTTTAAAAAAACAAAACCTCGTTTGTTTTATTGTGTACTAAATCAACATGGTTGTTGCATATTTATTACTATAACAATTTTATCACCGTGTATACGTAGTTTATTGGAATACTTACTGGATTCCCTGGATTGATGGCAGCCACTTGATGCCTGAAGCCGGGTCCTACGGCCGCAGCTGCAAATGCGCTGTTTGATCCGGACATGTCAAACGGTGCACGATAACTGGGCCCAAAGTAGTTGAAATGACCGTACGGTGGATACCTAAAGTCGAAATTGGGAATGAAAGGAAAATTATTAAAGGCGCCGTATGTGTTTTGTGCAGCTTCGAATGCGGCCCGCTGTTGATTTTCTATGTTATCATATATAACATCCCTGTAATAAAGAACAATGTTACACAAACATAAATAATGAGTACAAACACAAACAAATGAAACACGAAAAGCAACTGAAAGCGAAGAAGGTTAGCAAATTATTAGACACACACATACACACAAAAGCATTACTAATTCTAACCTGAACTTTTTAAAATGTGGCAACGGTGGCAGCTGAGGGAACGGTGAAAGTGTAGGGAACGGTGATAACAGTCGTGGCAATGGTTTCATAGGTGGCAATGGACGTAATGGCTTGAACGGTGTCAATGGTTTTAACGGCGGTAATGGCGGTAATGGTGGGAGAAATCTTCTACATCTATAATATGAAATAGATTAAAAAAAAACTTAATTCTATATTTGGTTAATTAAGAACATTACAAAACTTAGAAACAAATATGACATAGAAGCCTTAGATTTTAACTTTATAAAATATTAGCATTTTTGAACCTTCACCTTTATGACAAAATCCTTCACCGGAAGCCGGTTGCTTAAAGTAATTTTATCAAAAGAGCTTACGGCCAGTTGGTGTCAAATGGTAAAACTTCGTTTATTTTGTTTACGTTCGATGACTCTGACGAGTCGTCGGCCTCGTTGATGTTTGGTTTATATACGCATTCGTACCTGCGACCAGTTGAATCTTGATACGCAAATACACCTACACCGTCGGGGCTTGGAGATCCTGAAACAGAATTTCATAATTTATCATCATGAATAGCTTTCGCATCCAACAACTTTCTACCAAACTCACGCAGTCATCGTTTCATTTGTAAAAAAGAACTCCACAAATTAACAATATAACTCAGGCCTGCAACCTAGAGGGTTAGATGGAGCCTATTTGGCGCGGTTCTGGGACACCTCTCGCCCCTTTCACATAAATACATCTATACATGCATGCCCGTTGGATTTAAAGACTACGTAGATAGTACACAACTAAAACTTTCTTTAAGTTTAAATCTTTCAATTGCATAAGTTTTCCAATGATGTTAGGGGGTTGTATAGAATACGGCTGTGTAACTAGTTCATAAATTAGCCCTTAAAATTACTAGCAATATTGTATTAGCATCTAAAGCAAATGGTATCAATAAACTGCCATGACTACTATAGATAATTAGAGTTCTTATATCAAAACAAATTGATTCACTATATATGATATACGAAAGACAAACGTATACAGTAGATTTCTTTTGTTTTGTTAAAGTAGTGTTCTTTACAATACACACAAATATGAATCATTAAAAATTGAATCATTGTATTTGATTGTAACAAGTCGAAGTGATAAAAATCGTTTTATTGTAGTCGAAGCAATGGTTGCTATAAGTAATTTAAGTAAAGCGTGAAATTGAAGCCTTAACTCTTCTAATGAAATATTGCTGTCTCTATTTTCCTAAAGAGAATGATAGGGATGTCAATATGGTTTGATACAAGTGTTACGATAGTGTGATTAACTGAAGTCAATAAAATTTGTCCTCACCGTAACAGCATTAAACACGAACTGTTGTGAATACAAATGGTCGACCGCTTTTTGTATAGGTGTGACTAATTTTACTGCATATACGTATGATGCATTTGTTATATTGTGTATCTAGAAAAATCGATTTTATAACGATGCTCATAAATGATGGTGCAATATTTATAGAATGATGACACGCTGGATACATAAATATAATATACGTCTTGTAGCTTTTACAATGCGGATTTATAATATAGCAGTCCGTCGGTACGTTGAGTAACCCGTTGTCAGACCATTTTTTTATAACAGAAGTTGGCAAACGAGCAGCGGGAACACCGAGGTTTTCAACGACGCCCATGAACATCAGTAATACCAGAGGAACCGCAGATGCGTTACCGGCCTTTGAGATGGTGATAAGCTCCCTTCTTGAAGGACGTCAAGTCGTAGCGGTTTGGAAATGCCGCCGAGGACAGACCATTCCACAACGCTGCTGTGCGAGGCAGGACGTTTTGCGCAAACCGCATGGTTATGGAATGCCAGCCATCGAGATGGCCATGTAATTATCCTTGTCAAAACAGAGATTACAATATGTTTTAAATGTTGCTTTTGGTTTCAGTAATCCACGGTTACTCTCTTCTTTTCATAAACAATATTAAGTTGTTGTCTTGAGATGGCCAAGTCTTTTATTTTTTTACGAGTGTTTCGGCAAAAAATCACAGATTATATAGGCCAAATTTTACATATCTTGGCACTACATTTACTTGACATGATAAATCATTGCCTAGTTGTATTATATTGAACGTACTAAAAGCTAGTACAGATGGTAATTAATTGAAATCCTAAATCTCTGTCTGCGCCTTCGGATAAAAGAGTAATGAAGCTTGATGTTTTTTTTATTTATTTATACAATTTTTTTTTATTTTGACAACTTAATTTATATCGATAGCTATTCGATAAAGAAGTTTAGTAAAATTAAATTAAGGTAATAATTTTAAATTTTCAGTTGATAATTATCTTGATTTATTAAGTTTTTTTTTATAGATGCGATATTTTACTTAAATAGAAACGTAAGCTGCAAAAATAAAATACGTTTTATATTAATATTTTTATCCTCGACATTTTAATTTTTATTATGTCCATCGTATAGCTTGTTGAATGACAAATGAGCGAAGCGTTCTATGTCGCGGTCGTTAAATTGGTTTTTGCTATAGCTAGAAAGGCCATTAGCAAAAATTATAGCTGTAACGGTTGTTATATAGCGAGATCGGCGCCGTTGATTCTCTTATTATACAGTTAGTGCATTGTGTAGTAAATTTAAAAGTCGATAGATTTGAACACATAGAGCATAGAGTATGCAGCGAGTATAAGATTTGTTGTATTTCTAGATTGTTTTAGAAACATTCTAAGGAATTTGCATTTGTAGGGGTTTTATGCAACATTTAGAGCAACATTTTGATGGTGGAGTTTAGGATATTCGGGCTATGTTTTGGTCATGTTTTAAAACTAGGCCCTATCACATAAACAAAAATAAATAATATCCGAAAGAACAGAGTATTTTCAATGGGAGGTTATAAGTTGCAAGTTTATTTTAATTTTTCTTTGTTGAGTAATGTGTATCAAATATTATGAATACGGTTTAAATGATTTCGTTAACTATAGTTTCAATATATGAGAAGTGCGCGTGGCGGATGCAATTTGTCTTACTACGGTTATTCATGGCTCTTAACGCAAATGAAATGATAAGGCTGCTTGCAAATAAAATAAATCAATTCTCTAAATCAGCGACTCCTATATTTTTTTCTCGTAGACCCTTTTGTTTAATCTGTAGACCTTTTTGTTCTAAATGTTTACTGGTTTCGGTAAACCGTGTGCTTCGTTTTCAACTTGTGATCTCCCAATTTTGTTTTCTGTACATCTCCGGTGGATCATACGTGGACCTTAGTGGTCCACCTAAACTACTTGGGATACGTTTGCTTAAATAGCTGAATGTTTTAAAGTAATATTCACAGTTGTAAACATTTGAAATGTTTTATTTATCGATCATAAATTGTGTCCTTTGATAATTATTGTGCCTAAACTGGTTTCTATCAATGTAAAAACGTTCAGTGCCGTCATATCGCTCGACAAATTCAAAATAGCACGCGTTAAAGCGTTGAACGTGTTAGTAGAGCATGTAATTCTATTAAGAAGAAAAACCATTTTCTGAGGCAAAAAATGAGTTTGTCGAATCAAAGTTTCGCTTTGTTTCAAAATTATAACAAATTGATAGCTATGTTTTATGATTCTTATTAATTTTTAGGGTTCCGTACCTCATAGGAAAAAAACGGAACCCTCATAGGATCACTTTGTTGTCCGTCCGTCCGTCTGTCAAGACCCTTTTTATTTCAATGATCACAATAATACTTCTGTAATTAACAGACTTCGTCAGTACTTTGTATGTCCGACGTGTTCCTTTCAAGTCAGCTGGGCTTTTGTTTTGAATTGAAACGCTGTATTGTGTGCCTTATGAAGATTATTAATTTTACGCATACGTTACTAGAATTTATTACAGGTGTTTATTAAAAAAACAACAGTAAATAATCTATCTGTTCTTTGAGACTATTTTCTACATTTATGCGAAATCAGAGAGATCTGTTTAGCTCTTCTGGAGATACGTAATAACAAATATTTATACATCCATCTAAACTTTCACATTTATAATAAGTAAGATTGCATGTTTTAACCTCCATAATTGTTATTGCTATTTATGTTACTAAGTACTCGTACGTCCGAGCACTAATAAAGGATTAGTACCTGGATGACCTCGGTATTTTTTTTTTTAAATTTTGTTTTTTGGAAATTATATTTAAGTACGAATTACTAATAAAATGATAAAATATGTATAATATTTTTCGATCTTACCGATACAAAAAGTTAAGTTTATGTTTAAGTTGATTATCGATAAAACACGAAAAAAATTACATTTTCTAATAATTATTCCTAGCTAGATCGATTTATCGCCCCCGATACCCCCTATATATAAATTTTATGAGAATCGTTGAAGCCGATTCCGAGATTCCAATTATATATATATATATACAAGAATTGCTCATTTAAAGATATAAGATTAAAATATTCATCCCTTAAAATTCTAAAGTAGTGAATGAAAGTTTGTGTTGTGTTTTCAACAGCACAAACGAAGTCGGGGAAGACAGGTAGTTCATTTATTTTGACTGTATAACCTTTGGTTTCTGAGGTCAAAATATCTGTAGAAAACATACCGTCATTCCTTTCATTATCTTGAACAAAACAAAGATAATATGTTTTAAATAGGGATTTGATCTCAGAAGACCATAGTTAGTTATAAAGCGTTAACCGGCCCCGATACAGATTTTATCTATTTATAGTTGTGTGCTTACAATTTAAGAATTTGTAAAAACCCTTAATTTAAGTGTTTATAAGCTAATCTTGTTTTCAAATCACATAATAGAAGTTGTCTGTGGCATTAAAGTTAACTGTGAAAAAACCTATCAAGATTCGAGATGATATCCTTTTGTAGCGTCTTCGTATTCATTAATTTTGTAAGTTAGTATGTGAAAAGATTGAGATGTTTATAGCATACTAAAATGGAAATCAGTGGCACGTAGGATACAATAACGGTTTTTTATTTTAAAAAGCATCTCGACATCGTAAGAATGATTTTAACAATCAAATTATTCAAACCGTTATTTTGCTGACTCGACTAATTAATTAACCGTATAAAAAATATAAATTTGAAACCACTTTTATCTGTCTCTACAAACATTAATATATACTTTCTTTGCTAAGAAAATGGATATAGAAGAAAGATACATTTTTACAACAAAATAAAAACTTCGATTACGTCATTCTCCTACGAAAGTTTGGAAACAGTTGGAATTTTTGTTAATTACCAATGTGACCGATGACCCACTAGTTTATCTCTGCATAATAATATCCCAAATACAACGCACCTTTCACCATACAACAAATTTAAGAAAGATTCTTATCTTTTTAATAAATTTAAAAAGTTGAGGTTTAAGATATACGTTAGCGTAAACTTGTTACTTTATACTTCTTAGGTTATTATTTATTCAAAGGATATAATAGTATAAAATAAATTTTATACATGAAATTCTCGTGTCACAAAGTTACCATACTCTTCCGAAACGACTTGACCGATTTTTATAAAATTTTATACGCATATTCAGTGGGTCTGAGAATCCACTATCTATTTTTTAATCCCCGCGGACGGAGTCGCGGACGACAGCAAGTATATTATAATATTATTGGTAATATGCATAGAATTGGGTCAGCAATTCAATGTCATAAAGTTATCACGCCGTCGATAACCTCATGGCTCAGTCGGCATTGAAACTGACTTACAATATGCGGGTTCAAGTTCGTGAGGTTAATGCAATTCAAGTTCAGGGTCATTGCACTTTTTAGGCAAACGCTTTTTATCATATTACGACGATAAGATGTTAAAATAATTGAATTTATATACAAGAGTAGTTATTATTGATTGTTGAAGTGCGTTGGATAAAAGCAATATTATCTTTGGGAAAACTGCGCCTACGTTTAAATACATTTTATTTTTAGATATTAAAGTATTTTATAAAATTGTTTATATGTTAAATACTAAAAAAAATACGCAAAATGTAATGATTATTTTAATTAAATATACATTGCTTTATTAATTAAGTATATGATGAAATATAATTATCAACAGAAAGTTAAAGAATAAACTTGTCTAGTAATTTTAGAATAAGTAAATTTGATACTGACCGTAACTCCAGCTGCAATGTAGAACAACAGCACTGACTAGATATAAAAACTTCATCTTGATATGTTCTGTCTTACGCAGCCTCCGTGTCCTAACTGCGTGACTATTTGAACCTGTTTGCGTTGACCAATGTTTAACACATACAATCTTTTATGATAAACAAAACGTAAATATTATCTTAAAAAAAATTGTTTTATAACGATACCTGTAGTTCCTTTAACAGACAAGTGGTTCGCACGAAGGACGAACGCTTTGTGTAGATGTTTTCTTCTTGTACTGGATTAAATGTCCAACTAGCCTGGTACGCATTTCAATGGTAATAGAATTTGAATCTTATTGTATTGTATTAGAGTTGAACTTGCGTTAATTTTTGTTGTATGTATTGGAATCAATGATGTTTGTAAATAACAATGATAACATTTTAAATTGCGTTTGTCAACTCAATTGAGGATACAGTCATAGTTGTTGATAGGTTGTTTACTAAGGGTTAATTATATGTTTTTGTTTTTGAATGTACAGGCTGAGTATGAGGACCAATACAAGGCACAAAACTTGTTATTATACAGCTTACAAATAATAATCAAAGCATAGACAATGGCAAATCGTGTACTACTACATACTAGCGGTTGCCCGCGATTTCGTCAGCGTAGAATATTTACAAAAAATAACTTAAGTTACACCCGCACACATCAACTACCTTCCAGTCTAGCCGTTTCAGTGATTACCCGGAACAACGGCGGATTTGCGGACAAAGATACAGGCAGACAAAAATAGTATTTTCGTTGTAAGCAACGCAAATACATCCTGTTCGCGAAATGTGATTTTTTTTCGATATAACATATTGGAGTATGCATTTTTTATTAATTGTATGTATTGATAAAAGGTTCAAAAATTATGTTAACAAGTAAACATATATAATTGAAATATAATATTTCAACATCGTTTATATCATTAAGCATGATAGTGGAAAAAATGTATGTAATCCTTTTGTTATGGTTGGATAACTTATTATTTTACTTAATTCTTTAATTACGTTTTTTATGACATAATGTCAACATATAAGTAACATAATTGGGCTTGTAGTTTTTGCCACTTTTAACTACGTTTATAACAATCTTATCCCTAGTTACATACATGTTGTTTTTAGCGGAAAATTTTCGATATAGTTTACATTGAACTATGACAAAACAAAAATTGTTTTTGAGATGAATTTTCAACATAATTAGAAGAGGTACCTGCGGTTATTCCCCATCTATGTATAGAATGTGTTAATTACATTGTCATATAACGTAACATTTGCTTGTTTGGTTGTTATTTTGTCTCAATGTAGTCAAAATATGACTATGTCTAGATGACATTGTTAGTTCGTATAATTTCCGACTGTCACACGATCTTTTTTGACTATATTTTTATATACCATACTACTACGTACCCAGTTAAAATTTCTTTCAAAGTACTTTTAAACTCTTGTGTAAATTACATTGTTCCAAAGTCAAATATAAATTTGGAAATGTCTGCTATTACGTGGCTCTTACAAGATATAAAATTTTCTTATCTTAGCTTTAAGGCTAAGTTTCCACGAAAAATACTCTTGACAAATTAAATGTTTTATCGCACTACAAGAATAAAAATCCTTTAGGATTTAAAAACAACGATATTCCTGAGAACAGGACATGCAGGTAGGTCATGTCTTTGCCATTATCGTGCAACACGTTTTGTACCATCACGAACTCTGGATCTTGATAAACAAACTTATATAACTACTGTCTATTTTTTGTATGATGACTAAGATCTGATCGAATCATTCGCACAATTATTATTTTCAATGCGCAGTTCTTTACTTTATGTTGTAGTTAATTGAATTTTTCATTATAAAACATACCCGTATCATGCTTTCAACATCGTTGTTGTCCTAACCATAGGACTAAAAGAAGGTTTGCCGTCTCATTTTGCCATGCTTTTTTCGTCGAACGGCATGTTTTTCTTTGAAAAAAAATCCGTAATATATCTAGATAAACCATCTCGCTAAGCAGAAGCGATATCTCTTTGCGGCATAGTATATGCGATGTTCCTACTCTGTACAACTATACGAGTATTAAGTTCCTAATAAGAATAATAGCTAATCAGCAAATAGAATTAAGATGCTAATACAATGTGGTAGGCGTTTATTTTTATTAAGTTAACTTTAGTTAGTTAGCTTATATTAGTTAGCTTTAGCTTAGTATTTTTTAACCTCACAAGGGTCATTGCTACCAAAATGAGCTGGTTTTACTTTCTGCTTTCCTGTAATATCGTCGTTTGCACTTTATTCATTCGTGTTACTGTTATCCCACATATCCATCTTAATATTTGTGTGTCCACCACAACGTGAATTGCCAAAATTATTTAAACCTTATACACAATTTGAATAAGATATTTTTAGGACCGAATAACCCTATTTAAACCAGGGATTTCTTTGGTATTCCGAATTTCAGGGTAGGAACAGCGGAGAACTTCCTCACACATACATCTCTAAAAATGAAATAAAATAAGGTCTAGTTTTGCAAATTTATTTATTTCGGTTAACTTACAACAAAAATCACAGCTTAATAACAAACAAGTCTTAAATCTAATGTTAAATTTTTGTTTAATAATTTTAAAAAATTACTTTAAACACTAAAATTTGCACCAAAGACAATTGACCATAACTCGTTTATATTTTTGACTGTTTTATTATTTGTTATATAAAGAATAAAAATATTTTTTGCAGCTGTAACTCTAATGGATAAACATAGTTCAAATTATAAAATATATTACATTAAAATTAATAATCAAGTAAGGTCAGCATGTTAGGACAAGAAAAGTAAAGAGATTAAGGTAATTCGTATTCTTCGACTACTCCATTTTTGTTGACGATCCTGCGACCGCCGCGCTGCTCGCTCTTTTGTCCATTCACATTAGAAGACGAATGGAAGCTATACTGAGCTTCTCCGTACACGTTTGAATCCGGACCATCAGGCTGCAAGCTTCTGATACTCTGAAAATTAAACAAAGTATTGTTAATACTGACGAAAAATATTTAAAAAATGTGTTGTTGTTAATATCGTTTTGTCAATAGTATATAGTTATGTTTATCATTGGATTCTGAGGCCAAAATCTCCATCGTCTATCTATATCGTCATTATCTTTGACAAAACTGAGATAACAAAATGCTTAAATCTGGGATTTTAGTCTCAGAAACACACGGTGAGTCGACGATATCAAAATAATCAGCCGTAGAATTTCACGTAAGTCTTGCAAGACGTACTGAATGTGGTTAAGAAGACTTATTGTTATTTTATTATTAGTATTTCAAACTCTAAATCAAAACTTAGATATCAGACCTAAAATCATTTTAAATACTAATCATACTAATATTATAAATGCGAATCTTAAGATGGATGAATAGATGGATATTTGTTAGACGGTATCTCCAGAACGGATAATCAGATCGCGCTGAAATTTGGCACACATGTAGAACATAGTCTGGAAGAACACATAGGCTTATTAAGTTTTTTTATTCCGCGAGAACAATGTTACGGGCGACAGATCTGTAACATGAGATCTGTATAATTAACTGAAGAAGGAAAACTTAACATCCAACAGAAGTCAAGATGTTATCGCAGATGTATAGAAATAAATTATTAGATTCTCTTGATATAAAGTATAATAAACATGGAGTGTATACTCATTAGATTAAACCATGTCATAAGATCGTGCATTTATCGATTTATATATTTCTAATGTATAATATATTAATGCCTGTCATGGTTATTTCCAGTAGTTACAGGAAAAAATATGTAAGTATAGCGCATCTGCATTTTGTAATAATTTTAACATAAAATTATTGAGATGAGAATAAAATAATCATATCAAAACAAATAAAAATGTATAATGGATTTATGTGCATATTTTCCATCGCTTAATAGAACATTGAAGTATTGGGAATTACGTCATTCATAGTATTCTATAGACGTTTTGAAACGTCTTAGGAATGAGGATATAAATGCTATTTTAACAAAAACTAATCAGCTAAGTTACAAAATGCATTAAACTTAAATATAAAAAAAAATCGTGTCTATGTTCGCGATAAACTCCGAAACTATTGAACCAATACTTCAAATTTTGTAAGCATCTGTATCTTGTATTTGGTCCAATTGGGAGATATCGGGGTCGCATCTCAATTATTGATCGTTACTTATCCCATATGGACGGAGTCGCAGACGACAGCTAATCTTATATATAAAATTCTCGTGTCACAATTTTCATTCTCATACTCCTCCGAAACGGCTTGACCGATTCTCATGAAGTTTTGTGGGCATATTGAGTAGGTCTGAGAATCGGCCAACATCTATTATATCCCGCGCGGACGGAGTCGCGGGCGACAGCTAGTCTTATATGTAAAATTCTCGTGTCACAATTTTCGTTCTCATACTCCTCCGAAGCGGCTTGACCGATTCTCATGAAATTTTGTGAGCATATTGAGTAGGTCTGAGAATCGGCCAACATCTATTTTTAATCCCGCGCCAACAGATTCGCGGGCGACAGCTAGTACTTATATAAAAATCTTGAAATATCTTGAAGAATCATAAATTTATATTGTATCACGATTTAAAACTATCGCACAAAGGTATGGATTTCCCAGTTTCTTGTTACATTTATACGCAGAATAGGTCATCCTGTTATAAGATAAACCTATATATTTTGTTGTTTTTGCTCGAAGCTGCAAAAAATATGTAAAGGACATCCATATAAAAAGTAATCCGGCTTGTTCTTGGTCATCAAATGAATAACAAAAGATTTTTTCGAGAACATAAGATAATTCTCGATTTGTAGGAAGTAATGTTTCTTATTTCAAAGTAACTTTCTACGTTATGAATAAATCAATCAAATTCCTCACCAATTAACATACAACTTTATGGAATTTCAAATGATAAGCATAAAATTATGAAATTTTACTTACATCAAAATTAGGTTTGAAGTCGAATCCTTGACTCAATCTGTAAAATAAATATCACATGAAAAACTAAACCTTTCTAATTAACGCCCTCCCTTTGTTAAAATGTATTAGACCTCAATTATATCAGTTCTTATTTTACGTTTCAAGCATTATAATTAACAGTACAGTTTTATTTTAATAGTTACTCACTTAGTACTTACATTCCAATTAAATCAAATTTTAAAATAAGACTACAATTAGTATAAGCAAAGCAGATTGTAGATAATTTAAGCCACGTGTTTTTTTATATCTTCGATTCCAATGAAATTTGTCCGTAATCGATACAATTTTTTGAATAATAAGCTTGTCTTGTTTTTTTCTTATTTATTTTTATGTTAAAGAGAAAACAAGTAACATTCATGCGACTCATTGCCCCGAACGGTATAAAATGCATTAAGGCTATAAGTCTACGTTCATCTTATAAGGTGGAACAAAACGTGTTAGGAGGAATTCCAACGACATGAATGCGATAAATATCATTAGACATGCTCGATATTGATTCAATTATGGCTCACAGCAAATGTTCTTAGAATTAAAACTTTTAGACAAATTCTCTCTAACATATTGTCGTAAAATGAAGACAAATTAGTAGGTACATGTATGAAGGATTAGTTTTAGTATATAAAACATAAAATTATTAGTAATTAATTAATTATAATTAATGTTAAGAATTAATTTATTTGATTAATTAATCCTTTTGTAATTTGGAATAACAATAATCAATAAACATAAAGATTCGGCTTTCAATTTCGCTACAATAAAAATTGTACTCAAAAAAATAAATTTCCGTAAATTAAATTTGTAGGAAATATAAAAATTGTTTTTCCCCATGTTATGTATTCGTTAATATTCCCAAAAATCAATTTGTATTTTACCAACCGGCGACGCATTAATTTAAATTTGTCCTCAATGCTGTAAATGAAAAAAGGCATTTATAAGTCAATCATAATCAACATGAAATGTTTTGCCTTTTTTTTTTCTTAACAAAATATGGAAGAGATCGAACTGGTAGAAGCAATTTTGTGTCTCGGAAAAAACTCGTTTTTTTTGGTTTATTGTGGGTACTTTAATAACTTTTATTAAAGAAAAAAAAAATAATCATATTTAGCGGAAGAAAAAACACATGGTGGCAATATCCTTGCCAACCAGTATGAGCTCTGTTAAATTCTGTTCATGGATCTCCCTCTTGCAGTTGGTGAAAATGCGTCACTAAGTTTTAAGGTATTGGTGGTTTTAAGGTGCTGCAAAGTGGAAAAAATCATAATATTGCCACTACCAGTAAAAGGGTTAAGTTTTTTTTTATATCATAAGGTGGCAAACGAGCGAGCGGCCACCTGAAATCGCTTAAATAGCGAAGTGACCGTTGCCCATAGACATACGCAATTGCATACGCGTTGCCTACCTTTAATCGATGGAGGTGAGGATGCACAGAAAGAAAATATTTTCCCTCCCCATGCATCCTTTCGTCCGGAAAGTCCACTTCCACTTCCCATCCTTTCCTTATAAGAAAAAGGGTGGGAAGGGAAAGAGGACTAAATTAGGCCTCCGGGACGCACACTCATCAGACGAAACGCGGAATTGCTTCCACTTCACGCCTGTCTTCTGTGTGGTCGTGGTATTTCACCGGGCGAGCCAGGCCAATTCGTGCGAAGATGTTAAAGCGGGCTCTACCACTGTTAAACTGACACTGTTAAGTCTTAAATTCAGGATTTAAAAAAATAAAATTAAAAAATCAATAAATATCCTTTTATCACACTTCGTAAAATATAAATTTTATAAATAAACTAACGTATTAATTTATATTACCTACCGATTACGTGCTAAACGAAATTTGTTTTGAATGCTGAAAAGTAAACATATTTTAATGAGAAATAGGTTTTTATTTATTTTTATAATCTACATTTCTTTTTGTTATATTAAATAACGATCACATTTCAATTCATATAAAATGTTATACAAACCTGTTAATAAGTTAACAATTTATATGAGCGACGGAACTTTATATTTGAAATAAGAATTATTATAAGATTTTATATCCATTCTTTGTTTTCTATTATATATTTCGAGTGACGGTTTGATCTCAGAGCTAATTTTGTAAGTATTTTTTTACAAATATTAGCAGATTTTTGTTAATTTACTAATATTTCTTGTACCATGACATCTAAGCTTTATGCTTGTGCTAGGACATTGTTTACGACAATAGTGGAATGGCGAGATTTGAACCCAAGACCACTTGAAAGGAAATCCGTAATGTTAACCATTAGGCTATTGGCGCTTCTACTTACAGAATTACTTTAAATATCGTTACTTAGTATTATTCTAAAAATGGCCGACTAAAGTGTGTCTTATCAATAAACGAAGGTTTCAAAGTCGTTGTAGTTTAATTTACATTCAAATTCGTTGTCACTAATGAAATCTAAGACGTTATTGTTTTCTAACAGTGCGTCCCATCACCAAATGTATTTACCACCACCTTATGCCATTTACCGTTGGTTTCTGAAACCTCTGTATAAAAAATATATGGTCATCCCTGTCATTATCTTTGACAAGAAAGAGATAACAATATGTTTTAAATATGATTTTGGTTTCAGAAACCCATGTTTAGTAAAATTTTAAGTAAATAGAAGGAGGAAAAATACAGCTTCCTCACTATACTATTATACACATTATTTCTTTATAATGTTGGGGCTTTACAAGAGTAGAGTGAATTAGTTAGTCATCTTTGGGATACCTCGTCATTTAACATCTTGCGAGATTGTAGTAAGACTCTGGCTTATTCATGGTAAAAGAGAACTAAGTAATAAATATATAAATATTATAAATGCGAATGTTTGGAAGGATGAATGAATGTTTATTTGGAGGTATCTCTGAAACGGCTCAATGATGAAATTTGTTACAGATGCAGAACATAGCATGGGAGAGCATATAGGCTTATAATTTTTGTAGTCGGAGTCGCGGGGGAAAGCTAGTATGTAAATAGTATGTAGCATGTAACTTACAGACGGTGAAATGTATTCCAATCACCATTAGCCGCAGCCGCGCTTATGTCATTTTGATCGAACGGTGCTCCTGAAAAATAAAGATGCAAATAATATCAGATGCATAACTATTGATTTCTTTTATAAAATGAATTAGTAAGACTTAATATTGGTTAACACAAACACAACAACACACCCAATTAACCCAAAAGTAAAAGTAATTTAAAAAATACTGAGTAATCCATTTTGATAAATTTTTGAAATCGAAAACATTTTTAGCTCGGCACAGAATTCAGAACGTCCATAGTGGACAAGACGTCAAGGTTATGCTTAGTAAGATAGCAATAAAATTAGCTAAAAAAAAAAACAAATCAGAAATAAAGTAAAATGAATCTTCATTTATTTTACATCTTAAATACTTTTCGAAGACGTTTAACGAAAATATTTCATCAATAAACAGCGTAATACTTAGCAAATACTCGATGCTAATAGGTTTTAGTGATAACTGGTGGTTTGCGCACATCATTGTTAAAAATAAGCATAATCTGCAAACGTTGTGCAATAAATTATTTTGTATCCAATCTATACGGAATATATTAAATAGAATTAATGATATCAATCGAGAGGTCAATGGTGGTCCGGCCGTGATATTTAGCTAAATCTTCTCAAGTTCGCGTATTGTTTTCATAAATATTCAATTAAATAAGTTAAAAAATATAAAGCGCTATTCGTATAAAATATAATAAAACGCTAGAACGCGCTAAAATATAATAAAAGATCTAATATCATTGTAAAAAACTAAATCTAAAGTGTTATTAATCTAGTCTTTTCTATATCAAGCTTCATGGATTAACGAAAACTTATGTGTGTTCATTTTTGTCGAATATATGGAAAATCCGACACTGTGCCGGTGTACTGGCACAACATTAGCCGTACTAAAATGTCGTTTATGTCCCCCACTATTCATTTTGACACTAGACTTTGTAACGAAAGCAAGTCATTCGCGCCAAATGATTCTAATTAATAATGTCTAAAATTAAGCACTCAGTTCTTCTTTCATCTTACACGAGAAACATACTTAACCAGAACATATATAAACATTATTCAATCTATTAGTTATTGGATTGCTTAGTTTTCAACAAAGTAAATCGATAAAAAATTTCACCCATTTTTAGACCACGTGATTATCAACACTTAACATTTTACTCGTGTAAATCATTAATTTTAATTGGTAATATGCTGATAAAATGAAAATAAATGCATGGAATGTTCAGCATAATAAGCCAAGAGTCGAAGATCAGGAGCGTATGAATGCTGTTAGACTGGATATCACAGTATGACGTCGTATTGATAAGAAAGATCCGGTACGAGTGAGATGCACAAATGTGCATAAATTTCTTCTTACACGTGTAACGAGAAATATATTATACATATATATTTAATTTGTACATATTACATAATATACTTAGGTACTATGTACAAATTGAGTTAGATTTTCGAGTTAGAAATAAGTAAATTAAAGTCTATAGGATAAATATTGTCATCATTTTTTTTCGAAATTTTAATCTTACTATCTTACTAATATTATAAATGCGTATGTCTTGATAGATGGTTGGATAGATGGGTGGATGGATGTTTTTTGAAGGTATCTACAGAACGGCTGAACTAAATTTAGCATACATATAGAACATAGTCTGAAAGAATACATAGGTTACTAATTATATATTTTTTTAATTCTTCGCGTACCGCTTGTTTATGAATAAAATGCAAATAACATGGACAGGCATAACGTTATAAAATTAATTGTTATTTTGGTATCTAACAGAAAAGCTCTTAATAAAACTTTTGTTCCTAACATCTCTTATATTCTAATATTTCGTATGAAACAAGACGCTGGAAGAAAATTATAGTCTCATAGGGAAACAGATCCCTATTTTCTTTATTGTATCCTCAACGTGTAGGATATTACGTAACACAATAGAATGATGGTAAACACTATATGAATAGCGTAGGCCACATCCTACGCAGAGCTTCGACATACATTTATAAATAAGATAATAGTGATAAAAATTGATAAGCAAGTACATCAGCGGTATAATATTATAGGAACATTAAACACAAAAGGGTATAGAAAGGTCAATCCTTTGATACGAACCTTTATGTAGGCTCTACATTATAGAGATTAAGTAAAGAAGGTAAAAAGTTGAAAAATGGTGGCTCTACTTTTTTTTATATCTTAAGGTGGCAAACGAGCGAGCGGCCACTTGAAATCGCTGAAACAGCGATGTGAACGTTACCCATAGACATGCAATGGAATATACTTTGCCTACCTTTAATCGATGGAGGAGAGGATGCACAGAAAGAAAACATTTCTATGCATCTCACATCCAGAAAGTTCACTTCCACTTCCCATCCGTTACTTATAAGAAAAAGGGAAAGAGGACTAAATTAGGCCTCAGGGACGCACACTCATCAGACGAAACGCGGAATTGCTTCCACTTCACGCCTGTCTTCTGTATGGTCTACTATTATTTAACCTCCTTTACCTTTATTAATAGGTATGTCTTACTTCAATACAGATTAATTATTTTTCCATCTTATCTTTAACAATGATTTAAAACGTATTAAAAACACATTTAAACTAATGTCGTGCTATTAGATTGCACTGTTTTGATTTAGAAAAAAGTTATGCCTGATTCTACGTCTTAAAAATGCGTTATTGAGTAAGTTATTCTTAAATTTTATAGATTCCATACTAATTGCGTCAAATATAAAAATCATGCGTCATAATCGTGTTAAAGTTTTGGTGAAAACTAGTATAATAAAAGCTATAGATTAAAGTTCAAAACATAACAGATATGAGGAAATCAACTTAACCAGCAGATTGGTTAAATTGAATTTATTGTAATTTGAACTTTATCTATATGGAATAAAGTTGGAATTGATATAAATGTTTATTTGATTTGACTAGGAATTTACCTACTAGGATAAAAAAAACTGTATATCGATGCATTTTTGACGATAGTCTAATATTTGTTTAGTGGCAATCGAACTTTAGACGTTAATAGATTCCGGGATTTATGATATAATATTTTGTTGTATTAGTATTTGCTTTCCATAATCAAAGAAAACTCTAAAAACTATAAAAACATAATCCTATTTTTTACGAAAAAAAAAGTATTTTTCTGGTAATGAAGTATTAATTGGCGAAACAACAGAATAAAATTAATAAAAAATGGCTACTATATTTTTTTAAAGTTCATTATAATTTTTTTTTATTGTTTTTAAATGAAAATTTTCATACAATTAAATTATAATTTTACTTACCTTCCACGTTAATGAAAATAAATCCAATCACAAACAACACGGGGCATAGTTTCATCATTTTTGTTAGTGAAATAAACAAAATATACGTGTGATAAATTTCCGAGACACGGTGGTGTATCGTGCGGTGTGAATTTTCGCGCTATAATGTAAAGCGACAAGGTCTTTCCCGCCTTATATCACACGCGAATAATCGCCATTAAAAGGGCTATTCTCAAATACAGATAAAAAACAACATTGTATTTTTTATTTTCTCTTTAGACTTAAATTCAGCCAGTGTTTTCTTCTGTTTATGTATACTTCTAGAACAAAAAATAAAATACTGCAATGTCTTAGGTCGATTATTTTAATCCAAAAAATATTACGTCCGCCAAGGGGAATAAAAAAAAACATTTTTTTTTCTCTAAAGTCAAAAGTTTTATACTATTGAGCTTGTATATATTTTGAATAGATTTCATTTGAGAGTCACCCAATGAAATTGTAATTTAATTAGGCATTTATAACCTACTTAATCACATTGTTTACGACATTTCTGCTTAAAATTCCTTCTTTAGTTTTTTGCTATTAAAAGCAAAATAAAAGTCTAGTAAAACAAAGAAATACCCTAATTATTTAGTCTTTGTCTCTTTATGACATAGTATTATCGTACTTTTTACTAATATTATAAATGCGAATGTTTAGATGGATGGATGTTTGCTTGAAAGTATCTCCGCCACGACAAAACGGATCTTGATGAAATTTGGCACAGAATCGCGAGCGACAGCTAGTATTTTATATCCGACATAATAACATATACAAACTATTGAAACAAATCGATTAAAGCATAATATATTTATATCAAGCGAAAACATACAAACCATCCATCAATCACTTTGCCCTGATATTTATGGAGATCATATTCATGTTGATTACATGTTTTAACTTATTTATGTAATATAGAGTTTTGAGTTTTCACTGCCGAGACAACCGCTCATAAATATACTGTTATCTCTGTCTCTTCAAGGAGAATGACAGAGATGACAACTATGGTTTCAATCCACGGTAAAACGAAATGAAAATCTCGTTCTATCAAATTCAATAATAAGTAAATAAAAAAATAAGTGAATAAACCATTTTGTAACAATAAACACTTTATTTCTGGATAAATTAATAGGTTTTAAATGAATCGACTGTAGTTTAAATATTTAAAAACATAAAGAAAACAATAATAATTGGTTTATGTACACCTAGTACCCGATGAGCTCATAGAATGGAACATATCCATAATACAAAGGTATGTAGCTGGCTGGTGCTTCCTGTAATTTAGAAAATAATTTTAATGACGATATGCAGTAATATTCAAACGTAATGGCAGCTCGCAATGCTAACCGATTCTAGAGAAAAAAAAATGATTTTAGTTAAATACATTTTAGGTATGAATAAAATGTCAAAAGATGTAGGAGAAACTTTTGCTTTCCCTTATTGAGTCTACCTAAGCACTCAGTGAAAATATATGCTCGCAACAAACAAAGAGCCGTCATAAAGTTTGAATCATGTTATACAGAGTTAATAAATAACTACATTGTACCTAACAGTCCTCTAGAAGTAAGTGATAATAATTTTACCATTAACAAATTCCAAAATATAAAACTGAACAAAAACTAAAAGAAAAGAACCAAATATCAATGTCTTTTTTCTTTAAGTTTGATAATTTTTCCTCCTCAGATTAATTTTGTATATCAAATAAGCTTAGTTTATATATTTTCTAATTTAATATAAGCTTGTGCATGCTAAGGACCAGTTAAAATCGATTCGTAATGAATTTTGTTACAGCAACGTAAAGTTAAAAATATTAAAATGAATATTTTAGCTATATTAATTGAATAAAGTCAGTTCGTAGGATACAATTCGTATAAATTATTTATTGCGACGGAATATAAACTTACCATATTTTGTTTCATATAACTTGAATCTGAAGCTTCTTGTTCCTTATTGTCATTGTCCTATAAAATAAATATAAAATTACTGATCTTACTAAAAATAAATGCGAATGTTTGGATGCGTGGATGTTTATTAGAATGTATCTCTAGATCGCCTCAATGGATCTCCTTAAAATTTGGTATGAATGTAGAACATAGTCTGGAAGAACATGTAGGCTACTAATTAAGTTTTTTTTATTAGTTTAGCGAACGGTAGCTAGATATTGTATGTTTAATACTATTATACATAATTTTATTATACTTTATTTAGCTGATTCCTTAAATTTTTTAACCAAGTTCTGTAAATAAAATGTTGAACCTTTTTAGTTTTATACTGGTTTACTTACTAATTGTTCCGGTATGTCCCTGTAACATTAAAATGTTGTATTAACTTTGATTTAAGATAGATTTTATTTTTATGATTGACGGAAACAGTGAAAAAAATACAAATTATTAAGCACTTACTCGCAATTTTTATTTTCTTTTCCTTCATTTTTAGATTCCTCTTCAGCTGTAAAATTATTATAATTTTTTAATTAATCAAGTTCAAAATCTATCAGTTGTCGTATAAAATGTCTAACTTACCTAAGACATAGAGAAACAGCGCAATAAAGCAAAATGCAACAAGAAATTTAGACATGATTATAAATGAAATAGAATATGTTACTTTAACTCTTAAAACAGAAATCTAGTGCGCGATGAAGATTCTCTAACACTATATTTATCAGATTAAACGACCTTGAGAAATTAGTTATGGACAAGAACAAAATCTTTCCTTGTCAAAGACACTATAGGAACATGACTTTGATCTTTGGAGATCCGTAAAAAAATTTAAACTAAAAGTTATTTCAAATGTAAAGTATCCATCGAATAGTGTTAATAACCATATTTTTATTTCAAAGGAAAATACAAACACGTTACACATTTAAGTGAAAGTCAACTAAGGGCCTACCACGAATAATAATTTATTTAGCGCATAGACAAACACATTCTGACATATCGGTTTCAATTTTCAAGAAAAAGTACAAAATTTCTAATTGTTTTTTTATACACATTTGTTGTTACCATTCCAATGATGACAGAAGCAAAAAGTAATGAGATTGAATGTGGATGACTACAAAGGAAGACCAGAAAAAGTAAGGAATGACTGTGTGAAAGAGGATATGCGTAGGATGTATGGAGGAGTAGTACATACTATGCCGACCCCCAATAGGGTTGAGGGCAGGTTGTGATGATGATTTTGTTACCATTCCAAACAAGCTGGAAGCTTGTGCTACGACATGATTAACTAGAATAGCCCAATGACCGGATTCGGAATATTTGCGACATGCGCCTACTTAATGTGATCGACAAAATTTGTCATTTTTATTGAATACGTTAGTGTAAATTAGGCGCTGTAGGGGGCGCTGCACAAAATTGCTGTCAATGAAGTTACGAAATTATTGTCACGAATATTCGTGCTAGACTCTCACTGAATTATGCGCTAGTTTAACTTACTAACTCCTATGAATATATCATTGAAGGTAAACAACAACGGGAACTAAAGAGATACTTTTTTTTTAATATATAAACTTGCTACCTACAATCGCGCTACTAAGTAATTAAAAGTACTAGAAAGTATAATAGAGCTAAGAATGGTCTATAATTATATAGGATCATATTTCATATCAATACACCAGATCAAACTCAAATGATTTAATTTCGATTTTCCTTGAAATTACCTTCCATTATCAAATAGCTTTAAGTCAGTAAGTAAAATTGTATGTAATACTTATTTTGTACATGTTTATAATAGTGTTTTGGAAACGCTTCATGTGTATAATGTTCCTAAGAATCTCAATTATATCTTAAAATGATATTTAACTGTTAAATAAAATAAATGTAAGCCATTGTGTCAAGTAATGGGACTCATTTAATAAACTACCACGTTCTTTTCATAGCCCATGAGCATTTTTCATTATCGATGTGCTAAATTAGACAAATACACAATAACAATAGAAGGTAATCAATAGCAGTCTTGAAAATTTCAAAAGCGTTGAAAATTTGAGTACGTAGTATATGACCTTGAATATTTTTCTGTATATATTCCGAGAATCATCTTTGTTAAAAGCATAACAGTGAACTGAGTGCTTAGGTAACCTGTTCTAGTTGTTCTTTATTCAAAGATTATTTGACTTACGTTAATCTAGCTGTTGCCCGCGACTCTTTCCGTGCGGAATTAATAAAAAAGTTAATAAGTAGCCATGTGTTCTTCCAGACTATGTTCTACATCTAAGCCAAATTTCGATATCCGTTCAGCCGTTCCAGAGATACTTTCAGACAAACATCCATTCGTCCATCCATCTATCCATCCATCCATCTTAACATTCGCATTTATATTAGTAATGGTATATTTTAGATGTGACTTAATATGAGGTGAAGATATTGATTTTTAGGCATGCCTCCGATGATGATTCGCCTTTTTTATGCTAAACATGTACTAGATTAAGGATAAATGAATGATATGCTTTTCGCCTGTAAATTTTGAATAGCTATAGTATTGTAAATCAAAATTAAGGAATTATTTAAGCAGGCGTTGCTGCATTAAAAATCGACAAATATAGTACTATGTTAAAAACGATAATGAAACATATAGTTATTTATATCACTGGTTTATTTAAATATACAGATTTTTAAAACGTTGCATTCATAGAAATTTAAACAAAATAAATGTACACCTAAATGAAGTAACTAAAATGCAGATGAAAGATAACCTTAAAAATATTACTTTGAAATGACAACTGTTAAAGTACTACCAACTTTGAAAACAAGAACTGCGAATTACTATTAATTTTTAATTAAACGCTATTTTCAATAATTAGAGCTTGTTCGTCTACTTGGCCATTATTGTTAACGATGGTTTTAGTGGCACCGGCGTAGTTCTTTTTGCCATTGACATTACTGGCAACTGTGAACGAAGATGACGAAGAACCGACAAAATGTTGATTTGGACCCGGCTTGATATTCTTTAGGTTGTCACTATTAAATGACGTAATCTGAAATATAAATAAAAATTAGCATTCAAATATTTGCTTCAACAATTTTATTTTCAAGATTTACATAGGAATCTCCATCAGTCGGAAGAAACGATAATGCGTCATTTTACTGCTATCGATTTTATCAACATTCTACACCGAATATAATTTAGCTTACATGTATTTGCGGGAAGAATACTGGCGTTGGCGGCACAACAGGTACCTGTTAAACAAAAGTAAATATCAATATAAATGAGAAAGTTTCGATGGATGGATGGATGTTTGTTAAAACGCATCTCCAGAAAAATTAAAGGGCTAAAGATATAAAAATATGGAAGAACACAAAGGCTACTTCTTATATTTTTTAAATTACGCGTAGAGTCGCGGGATACAGCTAGTCGTAACAAAAGAAGGCTAAGATTCATTGTTTGAAAAAACTGAAAAAAAAACTGGCTCGCTTAACTTCAAATTCTAGTATTTAAATATTTACATACCTAATTGTTCTAGAAATATAAAAATATATTTAACTTAAAACATCATATAATATACAAATATAATCAAACTTTGTTACCTAAATAAATATTCTGAACAATAAATATAATAGTTCCAAATTACTAGTAAACTTGTAAATTCGACTACGTATCCTATTTGCATTGCGCACGATATTAGAAAAAAAAGAAAAATAAGTATTATTTTTTGCAATTTTCCTGGTTGAAATATTTTGAAAGAAACTTTTATAAATTGATATATCAAATAAATACCTCGGTTATTGTAATTTTCGTGTACTGAAATTAAATATTGAAAAATTGTTTCTTAAAATGAGTATTTTAAAAATAAACACACGCGAAATGAACTAGATTAAATGTAAAATATCAAAAGAAAGAAAATACCTCATGTAGATTTTGAGTTTTACTTTTATTCTATGATTTTTTTTTCAAATATGAAAGGAAATATGAGAAAGATATTTGTTAACAATCCATGAATTCCTAAGTATAATAGAAAAAGTGTATTTGAGAAATTATTGGAAGAAATAAAATTAACATTTTTATTAAAATATTTTTTTTATGTTTGACATGTTTAGGAAAGACACTTTATTTTATATTTTTTTTCTTCATAGACTTATGAAATAATCACATACCTCGCTTTCTGGGATATCAGGAAGCTATAAAATTTTAAATACGTTTGTTTTGAATAAACTTGACTCACAGCATAAGCGTAATGAATAAAACTAATATATTAACTCTACCTGCGAGAAATCAATTGAAGGCAACTGAAAAAGATCATTAATTTATATTTCTAATCTTTTTTTATACCTAATTTTATTATTATATTTTTAAAGGTAACTTATACCTGTACTCCTTTTATATTAATTATCTGTAATCAATAATTTAAATAAAAGAAATGTAGTTAAATAAAATAAATTTAAAAGAAAACTCTTTAACTCTTATTGTGCCAAGATTTATTTTTTGACGAAAAGCAAAAAACAAAGTTAAAAAAAACGAAGTTAAAAATTATTTTTATAAAGTTGTATGTATGGTATACTATACAAAATGAACATAAGGGTTAATCGTGAAAATAATCAAATGCAATCAAATTAATATTCACCCCAGGAATATTGATATCAGGCAACTGAAAAATTAATAAAACCGCCATGCATAGAACCTTTAAAATATAAACATTTATAAAAAAAATACCAAACTTTATGTACTCTATATTCTAAAAGAGACGCTAACCTTTGGTAAATCAATTTTCGGTAGCTGAAATAAATATTAAAAAATATGTAAAATTAATTTTAATAATTGATGACTTTAAAAAAGTTGAAGTAGAGCGATTTTTTTTCTAAAATATTAACAGATTTATTTTTACTAATATTTCTTGTACCATTACAACTAAGCTCTATGCTTGTGCTAGAAAATGGTTTACGACAATAGTCGAAAGGCGGAATTCGAACGGCCGACCTCGTGATCGGAAATCCGTACACTTAACCAGTAGCCTATTGACACTTCTACTATACTATTGCATTTGCATTTGAAAATAATATAGTGTTTCGAATTATTTTTTTATAATATTTATTACCTTGGATAAATTTATCGGTGGTGTCTGTAAAATTGTAAAATATGTTTAAATATTTCTCGTGTAATCTAACAGTGAAATCAAGAAACTTTAAAGATAGGCAACGTATATGCAATTGCGTATGTTTATGGGCAACGGTCACTTCGCTATCTCAGCGATTTCAGGTGACCGCTCGCTCGTTTGTCACCTTATGATATAAAAAAAAGAATAAAAGTGTCTTTCCCAATCAAACATTTAAAGGTTTTAATGAAATTATCAGAAATTATTAGTTTAAAATAATTATGCTACATTACCTTTCCCTTTGTTATTGTTATCTGTAGACGTTAATTTATTATTTAATAATGAAATATTAATTAAAAGAATAAGTTATTGATGATCAGACTTTGATATTTAGATTTATTAAATCCACTATACCTTTGGATTTTGAAACTGAAATAAAAAGAAAAAAATAGTTTCTTATTCCACTTACAAAAAGTATTTATATTAAAAATTAAAAAGTAAAGTTAAAAAGTTCGTCTTTGTATTATATAAAAGTATTATAAAATGTGTTTACCTGTTTTCATAAAGTGCAGTCTCTATTTCTTACGTTTTAGAATTACATTAATATTACTATATTTATAACAATCGTAATCGCTTAATTTAGATTAATCTTAAACGGTTTTTTTTTATCCTCTAGTCGTTTCTTACCGGTGGAACTCTAAAACAAAAATAACCATATGTAACTTAATTCTAAAAGCAACAATAGTTCCATTGGTCATATCAGTGATTCCAAAAACTGTCCAGAAACAGCTGGACATCGTAGAAGACCCAGTGGAGGTGTAAGATGATGGGTAATAAAATGTTGAGTTTACAAATTGAAAAAGAAATGTAGCAGCAGTTAAACGAAAAAGGTAAAAACTGAAAGAAGTTTACGAGAAAAAGGAAATCGAACATCAAAACTTTTTACTTACATGTTGCTTTTAATCACCGGCGGGTTTTTGCCAACTGTAAATAGAAACATATTCTACTGTAAAACAAAGTATACTGTTGGGCCGATAAACTTACAGATCAGTCGGCCCAATGTTATAATAATTCTCACTGATCAGTAGTTACACAGGCCCAACGAGATACATATCCTAAAGTAAAATCACAATCGGCCCGTTGAGCCGTTGGACCGATTGATCGGTAAGCCGATCGGTCCAACGGGAAACGCCCATCAAGAGATAAAATTAATGATCATATAATTACGAAATACCATGTATCATATATGTGTTAAAACATATATACGGAGGGAATGGTTTCAAGAATAAAAACAATTTCAGCAATCGATTATCGGAAATCAAAATACATTTGCATTTTGTTTGAACAAAATTCCTTTTGTCATAGAAAGCTCTTCTACTAGCGTGTATAACAAAGTTATCTGTCTGTTCCGAGCGATTCAAGAATTGTTGTTATAAGTGCAGAAAATTCGTCTCCTTAGAAATTTATAATAAAGTCGTACAAACCTTTAAACTCCTTGACGTCACCGTTGTCGTTAGTTAAAACTGTGGTACCACCAGTTTTTATGACATTCCCGTTTTCATCTGTAGTGTAACCACTGGACGACTGTACCACTACACCACTAAAAGTTTCTCCAGGGCTAGGGTTTTTACCAATTATGTCGTCGGGACTGGGTATCTTGATGGTAGGGAATGGTGGTATTATAGGATGAAGAGGGAATGGAAAGAATGGCTGAAAGCCGTTTACATGGAAGTTTTGGAAAGGTCTTTGAAACTGTAAATTTTATAATTATTAAAATTATCGATCAAATTTCATGATAAGTAAGGATTTTAATTTTCAAATACACAAACAAATGAAATGACTTCATTGTGATGTATTTAAATCATTAATCGTGGGTTTCTGAGAGAACAAAATCCCCGTTTAAAACATGTTCTCTTTTTTCACAGAGATTTAGGTCTCAGAAATCTACGTTAAGTTAATTTACAAAGACGAACTTTTAGATGTAAATAAAATAATTTTTTTTAATCGGTTCTTACTCGTAAAGAAATTTCCAAAAACATGTTTGTTTTATATATATCTTACCTGATTAAAAGGAAATCTGTAATAAAAAATTACGTTACAAATTATGATTAAAGGTGAATTTAGTAAAAATTTACTAACAATATTTTGCAACAATTCTACAAGGATAAATTAAAAAAAAACAGTGAAGAAAAAAAAGTGCTGCTCAAATTATCTATGGGTTTTTCCTGTTTTTATAATTCTGTTGCGTTTAAACATAGATATCTTACCCTTGGAATGGATTTTGATTATCATTACTTGGGTCGGCTGAAAACAAAAAAAAAATAATAGCGTCAAAATTTTTTGGAGTGGCCAGTGATATATGTTCAGTATAGCTATTAAAAAATGTTTTTACAATCAAATTAGAATAAACGAGTGTAAGTTTAAATGTCACTTCTTATTATTTTATAAATGCGAATGTTTAGTCAGATGAATGGCTGGATGTTTGTTTGAAGGTACTTGATGAAATTTGGCATATGTATAAAGATAGTCTGGAAGAACACATGTGTTACTTAGTCAAAGTTTTTTTAATCCGCAGACAGAGCCGCGGGCGAGAGCTAGTATTTAAATGATATTAATCATTCGTCAATAACAAAGGAATCATTGAATCATTGTACAATACATATAAATTGTTAAATATAATATTTACGCAGCTGTTCATTTAACGAGTATTCGTGTCTTTATGAAATAAAAATTAGTATTACGTCACTGAGGCAATGGAAAATTCTTGATTGTGAAATAATAGAGTTAGTTTATTAACTTGTTTGACTAAATATTAAATGATGGTAAAATAATTTTAGGATGTTAATTTGGTTCCTAAAAAAACTGTTTTTTTTACTCTACTTTTCCAGATTTAGTTCAAGAGCTACGCTAAGATTTTTTATTGCGTTATCATGAAATTACTTTGTTTTTGTACAATGCTTTAAGTATTAATAAAACAGGATATGCATATATGAGCAATTTTAACGTTGTTTTTTTTAAACACATGAAAGCGTTAAACATCTGACAACTAGAAATTAATGTAAAAATCAACGAGTCTGTGTGTTACAATATAGCCTGGAAAATAATCAGAAGAGTCAGAAATCAGAAGAAGATTTTGACACTTCATTATCGGTCAAGCCATTAGGATATATCTGCTAGAAATTCATACGGACCGCGAAAAACATTTCCTTCGCGGCAGTCGCACGAAACAATAGCATTGCTTACAAATCCAATTCTAGATAAATCTTACTAATATTATAAATGCGAACGTTTGGATGGATGGATAGTTGGAAGTTTGTTTGAAGATATCTCCAGAACGGCTGTATAAATCTCGCTGAAATTTGGCATAGATGTTGAACATAATCTGGAAGAACACATAGGCTACTAATTTTGTTTATTTTTAATTCCATGCAGACAGAGTCGCGGGCGACCGCTAGTATTTATATACAATGTGGATGTAACTTACCATTAACTCCAACCAATAGCGCAATTGTAGCGATTAAGAAGAAATGCGCCATTTTCTAGCGTCAGTTTTTCGGTATCGTAAATCGTTCGCAGTTCCTTCGAGCGTAGTTTTCAAAGCACTGAAAATTCATAAAATAAATAACTCATTTAAGTATTATTCGTCAGTCGTTGTTTGAAATATTACAAGCTGTGTAAATAATTGAAACGAATGACCGTTACGTTTTCTGGAAAGACTTATTGAAAAGAATTCCAAATGAAATGAGACTCACATTATAATACATTCAAAACAAAAACCATGAGGTTTTCTTGGAAATTAAAATTTGTTTATGAGTTGTTATTTTGTTTTCAAACTTATTTTTTTCCTAATAAAGTTTTATGTGGATCGTGCTGGCCACAAAGACTTGCTCAGAGTACTAATCTGTAGATACTGAGCCGTGTTTGTGGCCGTAACTAATGACATTCGTGACTTCAAAGCATAATAAAAACAATGAACGATAGTTCTATAAGTAATATGCCATTTTACAACCAGTTCATTCTATTTGTGTAAACTAAGATGATTTGTCTACTATGTACTAACACCAATAGTCCAAGGATCTAGCTTAAGGTTAGAAATATAATCGTAGCTTCAAATCCGTCATTTAAACATTGTTGTAAACAATCTTAATTTGAATATGAATAGTAAAATAATATGTATATGACATAATTTAAATTTTAAATTAGGTATATAGTCTTAATAATGCAGAGGTATATAGTCTTAAGAGCAGAAAATGTTATTAGTTACATCAATAAACTATAGAGAAATAAACACATTTATTACACAATAACAAAGGTGATTAAAAACACAACAATGTCTAAAAATAACCTCAAAAATACAATAAAGTCCAAACGTGCAAAAAAAGTGAAGCATGTTAATTTGATGATTTTAAAGCTCTTTATTGTTTAGAAAAGAACAAAAATACATGATTACCTTATAATTAAAACCTAAGAACACTAAAACAAAGAAACATTGTTCACGGAACACGTATGCATTGTGACTGACCTTCCCGAATTTTCCACAAAAATGCAATATTTTCGTATTGCGTTGATAAACAAAACAGGTCTACGTAGACTATGACATTCAAGAGTAACTTCAATGTCATTCTTTACTCCCTTTGTATTTTTTTACTACGAAAATTGATTTTTCTTTACATTTTAACATAATGCAGGTAATAAGTAAATGTGAAGTGTTGTCAAATCGTAAATTGTTTTTTTTTTGCTATACGATATATTATCCTTTGACGGTAACTCCGTCGGCTCGTAATTAAAAAGAAAACTTCTTAAATAGCCTATGTGTTCTTCCATGCTATGTTCTACATTTGTTTCAAATTTCAGCGAGATCCATGCAGCCGTTCTGGAGATACCTTCAAACATCCATCCATCCCAACATACGCATTTATAATATTAATAAGATAGTAAAAAGTCAATACTAAGATTAGTAAGATACGATTATTTTAGTATAATTCTAATTTCTGTTTTTACATTTAAAAACTCGTTATATTTTCACTTAACCTTGTTCAAAAAACAGTTGGAACTGGATATATATTCCTCTATATAATGACACTAAATTGTAGAGAAGAACAATTTTGCTCAATTATTTGCCTTGTTTTCTCTCCATTCGAAGCTATTAGTACGTGTTGTGAAAGAATGCGTTAATTGTCTTATTGGATCCTGTTTAAGATGAAATCAACAAAGATATCCTTAATGTCGTGCCACACCACCAAAGTTCATTTTAATTTACGAATCTTATAATCTACGTATTAATTTAGTTTAATTTCTATCTCAATATGTAGTAATAATTTTGTCTCAATTTATTATTTATTATAATTATAAGGTACAACCTTTATTATTTTTGTTCGAGTATTTTTAAAAGACTGAATACATACAAAACAAATATCGGCTGTGAGTCACTACGCTAATAGAATCGAGGTGCGAAACAAAGTTGTCCAAGGCGGATACTGTTTGGGGTCAATGGAGGTGATTCCTTCACACAATGCTTTCGTTTCGTACATCACATGAAACAGGTTACAATACGCCCGTAATGATAATGTGACTTCATCTCTTACATGGATTTTACGTCATTTTTTCGTTCAATTTTATATGTAATTTTTCAACTTTAAAGACAACCGTATAATTAAAACTTTATATTAAAGAGTAGAATATAATATAAGATACAATTTTAGACACAGACAGATTACAATTTTAGCAAAACATTTGAATTTCTGATTAATTTGTCTGTCCTTTTAGTTTATTCATAGCAAAGTTTTCCGTATGCGCTAATTAGGCGCTTATGACAGGACTTTTAAATGGAAGGCAGCTGATATATGGATAGCAATCATTAGAGCCTACTTTTTTAATTTTTGCGCTGACGTCTCAGGTGACCGCTACTGTAAATTTTTTGATGTTTTAGCTTTATTTCCACTGCGTAGCGAAGTTTGTTGTGACGTCACATTTGTGACGTATTGTCGCGTGGTCTACATATAAATTATGAGACTTACGTGCAAATAGACATGTGAGTTAAAGTGACCGTGACCCAGAACGTGCGACCCCGCTTCGACCGGACAATAATACGATTGGAGTTTTTTTTACAAAATTTACTTAATCTTGAAGGAGTCTCATTTTGCTCTATATCATTGTTTTTGATAACGGTGAGAGTAAGTAGTTGTTTTAGAGATCCTAAAGTTATTCTATCTTTCTTTATAGGAACTAATAAAATGATCAATTAGTGATAGTTTAGTGTTGACTTAAATCAGAGAGTGGTCATTAAAGGAGTCGCTTAGTAGTAATTTAGTATGAGAAATCTATGCCAAAGGACTGTTTAAGTTGTCGTTAAAGGTCTCAGATTGGCAGTTAGTGAGCCTATAATAATACGGTGTTTGCTATATCAATTGGATTAACAGACGTGTTTTATCTGTGATCATATAACTTTTGATATGTTTACTAAATAAACAAGAATTAATTTTTAAATACACAAATAATATTTATATAAAATATTTGTAAAATTGGATTGCTGATAGGTTCGTCTTGAGGAGCATGGTATGTAGGTCACTTAACACATGATTTGATGAGGATTTGTTTTTGCCTACCTTTAAAGGCAATTAATATAATTATCAGACTAATGTACGAAAAATTGGCTGTAATCATAACTAATACTCATGTCCTTCAGTCATGACTTTCGTCCTACTCACAGAGTACTTGTCGCTAAACTAAATGACAATGCTTAGTCATACTCAAAATCGCCTGACCGCAATGTCGATTTTTATCTCTCTAACCTTTCTTGTTCATCTAGTTTTAAATTGTATGCGTACAGTTAGTCATAGTTCTAATATAAATGTAACTATACTAAATAGGATGTGAGGTTGCGAAGTAATTAATTCATAAAACATGTACTACTATTTAACACTTATATGTGCCCATTTCTTAACCAATTTTAACCAAAATTCGAAACAAAAAAATTTGTAAACCTTCTCAAATCGAACCTAGGACTAGGGCATAATACTATAGGTATTCTAACCTCTACGTAGCCTTTATTCTCTAGTGTTTCCAATTTGTACACGCTACTAAAGTAACATGTAACACAAGACCAGTAGCCTCGAATGTTGTAAGATGATAGCGCACTGCGAATCGAACCTGCGACCCTCCACTACGTAATGAATCTCCCAGGACAATATTGTTACATTATACCAATAGCCTTCGTGTTAGATTAATAAGGACATTTTGTGGTTATAAGGGTTAGTAGTAATTACAAATTTTTGTTTTCTTTATTGTAATTATTAAATATTAAACTATGATAATTTAATCGTTTTAGGCTATGTTGTGATAGTATTATAATAAGTAGAAAGAAATAAAGCATTCTTTACCGTTTCACTGACGTACTTATTTCTTAAAATAAAATTTTTTAAAACTAAATTACAAACTTAAATTACATTACGATTTGTAAATGTGTATATACTTGTGCGTATGGACATCCCCCAAATTCTCTTTGAGAAAAGCAAACGCAATAATATGTACCAAAATAGTTTCGCGGCAATCGCATCTCAAAAAACTGATTATATATTAGATGAAAAGTGTTAACTTGTATTTGAACAGTCGAACCTGGATTAGCGAGAACCATATCTATACTAATACTAGCGGACCCGCCAGACGTGGTCCTGTCTACACGTCTTTAATTTGAATAAATTAATATGAAGTTAATATTTGATGAAAATTGTGAATCTAAACCATTCCCAGATCCCCTTGAACACACACAAAAAATTTCATCAAAATCGGTCCAGTCGTTTCAGAGAAGTTCAGTGACATACACACGCACAGAAGAATTATATTTATAAAGATTATAAAGCGGAAGAGTTTGTTTAAACGCGCTAATCTCAGGAACTGCTGGTCCGATTTAAAAACTTCTCTCTTTGATGAATAGTCCATTTATAGAGGAAGGAATATAATATTACACTGCCAATAGTTTTGTTTTTTAATTCCGCGCGAACAGAGTCGCAAACGACAGCTGTAAACAAGAAAAATCTCGCGATCCTTTGGACTCTCGTTTACCCAGGTTCGACTGTATACATATTATTTATAATAATAATACTGATGTAAACAGGTTACCGAAACTTGACTCGTCTGTCAAGAATTTGGTACCGGTACCTGTCAATACATCCATTAAAGTTATTGTAAATTTATGTTAATAGCTCTAATTTGATCAACTATAAAAGTTAATTTAAGAATTCAGTTGTATCGATTTTTGTTATTGGATTTGTATCAATTGGAAAGAATTTAATACAAGCAAAGGATTGCAAAAGAAACAAATTGGAATATTGTGCGTTTTCCTCGAATATGAAATCTCATATGTACAGAATCCCGAAATTTTCTCATAGAACATTTAGGCATCTCCTAAATGTTCTATGAGAAAACTTGATGCTGCGAACATATTGAATTACAAGTTTTTAATGTTCTTGTTTTTTGATTCCTTAGTTACTTTCTGTTATATCAAAAAAATAAATTTGAAAAAATGTCAAAAGGACCAAAACAACTAGATATTCTGATTTGCACAACCAGAAGAAGTCATTGCGGTATCACTGCAGTTTTCAATATTGTTACAATACCCATATGGATGACTGTCAATTGCCAAACACAACTGTTAACACGTTCCCTGCGCCATCACTTTCAAAAAACTTTCAGCTGGTGCTTTGGAGACCTAAAAGATCTCCAAACTAACCTACCATTTGGTGCGTTTGAGACATAATCGGTCTCCTAAAGATACAGTTTTCAAAATAGTTTATATCTTCTAAAAAAACAATCAAATATATTTTGAAGTTTTTGTGGGTGAAAGATAGCCTATTGCTTTATATTTTGCTAGGTTCGCACGCAGTTATGACATTTGAATAAACTACAAAAACCAAAAAAAAAATGATATCGATTGTATCTCGTACCGCAACGGAAGATAGTTCAATATGTGTAGTAAGTAGTGATGGGAATAAAATAATATCTCAGTTATCGATTGAAAAAGTTTTTTATGCAAAGTGTTTTTCATTAAAACATGGTAAGCACATTGATTGCTTGCATTGCGCGCAAATAGTAACAATTCGTTTAGTTTTTTTAGAAGCGTCAGTGCTGTTTAATGTGCGTCGTAATTTTTCGTAACAACCCACACAACGTCTTTTTTTGTCGCCACGTTGGAAAACATGATCAGTACATCTTCCTTCAGGTAATTCTGTAATAAAGTGCATTGTATAAATAAACAGCATGCAACTATGTCAGTGAAGTAAATGCGATGGAATCTAATTTTGTTAGTTTCGTTATTCGAGTGTCTTATGTATATTTTTGTTCTTAGGCTGTTGTGGCTTTAAAAAAATATACGGAGGTATTAAATAAAAGTTGGATGTCACAGGTCTCTTGTAAGTTTACTATAACAACGTTTTTGTTTAAATAACCGAAATTTAGGCTACCAGAAACTTACCAGAGAGTAATGTGAACCCCCCCCCTCCCCCTGTGTAGTATAATGCTTACATAATTAAAACACTCTTGCATTAGAGATAAGTAGCAAAGCCCACCAGAAATGCTACTAAGCTAAGACAATCTCAAAAACAACCAAAAATTTTCAGGCAATCAACAGAAGAAGTAGGTACATAACGCGTTTCAAACACAAAAAAATAAAAACCACGTAATATCGAAAAAAAGGCAGGCAGATGTTAGTTGGAAATAAAGTCTCCCCTCTTTAATTTATGTTTATTGAATGGTATCCAAGAAGATTTTTGTTCAGTAAACTTGAATGATTAAAGTTCATAATATGCTCAGTTTCATGCAAAGCGTGCTGCAGTTAGTTGACGATGCTAAGCTTACGCGTTGTCTGGAACCATTACCTAAGTTTCTGGAGAGATTTTAGCGCGCGCGAAATCCCACGTCGATGCTAGGACAACACTAAAACGAGTCACGCAGCGCCCGCGCCGCCCACCTTCCCTCTCTTGCGTCTACGAGGCGTACGATTCCACGAGTACCGACATATCTCCTAACGCAAGGAATGAAAATAATTACAGTACTGTGCGTTAGGGACCTAATCCATCTCTAATTTCTTTTTTAATGTCCTTGAATTCATCTTTAAGTAGGAAGCAAATATGTATATTTGTCCTACTCATACCTAAAGAACTTTACACGTTAGATCCTCCCGCAAGGAGTGAAACAACACTATTATATTCAACGCACAATACAAAAGTCCTGCAAGAGATCTGATAGATCTCGTAATGCAACGAACGTGTTAAAATACGCTAATTCATTCAAACAACCAGTACAAAATACCAACGTGCCCTGACTATACATCGTAGTTTAGATCTAGGACAGTGGGTTTCCCAATCATATCTCAGTTTTCCGCGTCTCTTAACAACCACCGAACAATGGAGCAGTTAGCTTAAAAAGGATAAACTTTACGAGTATTGTTTATCGTTGGAGGGGGGGCGGTGTGCCTGAACCGAGCATCGACTCGGCTACCGCGCAGTGGATTTTCTGAAGGCTGTAGTGCGGGCCGCATGCCAACGCTACGTTCGACCTCGCACGACCCTATTAATACGAGACACATCGTCTATCGATCATAGTCCACTCTGTAATCCCAAACATGCAGTTCCTCCTGTTATGTGTGTGCCTCTCGGTGGCTGTGGGTACGACCTTGTCGACCCCTATTCCAGCTGATGGCTTCGTGTTCCCAGATGCTGTAAGAAATCAGCGGAAATTGGAACCGATTACTCCACCTGTTCTCCCAGTGTTAGAACATTTGGAGCGCGATCCAAGTACGCTGCTTCCTGGAGAAGGAACTAAACGAGTGTCTGGAACTCCCAAGCCCCGGTTTGGATTTGGAGGCGGGTTCAATGTGGCACCAACCGGGAACGGTGGTCTTTCAGCAAGTGTAAGCAGCAGTGCCAGTGGTGCCGGCATAAGCCACTCAGCTTCGCAATCGTTCTCGTTTGGATTCAATGAAGGTTTCAGCGCATCGCACTCTGCGAGTCAAGCCTCGTCCTTTAATGGATTTGGGAGGTCAGTATTTTAATTTTAAATTCCAGTCAAGTACTGATTTAACCTTTACTGATTAAAGAGTTTATTTATAAAATTCTAATTAAAAATTATCCTTCATGTTCATGATTCAATAATTCAGAGAAATTTATTTATTTAGGTTTTACTGATTCGTTTTCAAATCCCAACATCGTAAATTGACGTCAACAGTCATTGGTTTATGTAATAAAGACATTTGCCATATAATATACCTTTTTCATACTTTAAGAATGCAAAATAAATGACTATTCTAGGACTAGACTTGGTTTAAACTTGATCATCTATTCATGAGTCGTAAATTATGCTATGGGGATATTACATAGGAAAATGGCAGGCAGATAAGTGGTACTCGTACAGTCTTTCCAATATTACTTAAGTACTAATGTTATATAACAAACAGCATTAATTTGTTTACAAGCTTAATCAAGTACGTGAATATTTAGTGTTTATTCAAATATTGACATTGCGATTTATTGGCACCCGCGCGTTCATGGCTATAAGTGTGTTTATAAAAGGTCCATTTGGTCTGGTCAAAAATACCAGAAAATCTCTGTAAGCAATTGATTACGAAAATTCTACATTTCTTTTCAATACAAGCTGAAAATTTTATGAATTAAGAAGGCAATTCAAACATTCTTAATTATAACAGTGGTCTATCCAACATCCGAAATGCTTTTATAAAAATAGTGTAATATCGCTGAATAAATAGTATAATAAAATATGTAAAATAAGATTTTTTCAGGCTTTTTTACAGAAATTAGTTTTTTTTATTGATAAAACGCAACTTTTTAAACTGTATAGGTCTGCGTAATGTGATAATCTACCATCATTATCATATTGGTTACGTCTTTTTGAGATTTTACCTTTCTGTAGTAAAATCGTAATTCGAATCAGGATGTTAGTGAATCTCGTAAGTGTCAGCCAAAGATGAATTTAAAAAAAAACAACCGGGTTTTTAAAAATCTTGAACTTTTTGCTAGTGTATTAATGTCCAAAGATAAAGCCTTACCCTTCATATAGATCAAGGATCTGTTTAACTTGAAAGGTCTGTGTAACTGTCTTCATCCGCTATATTATTATACTAGCTTTTGCCCGCAACTCTGTCGGCGCGAAATTAAAAGAAATCTTAATATATAAGTAGCCTACGTGTTCTTCCAGACTATGTTCTACATCCATGCTAAATTTCCTCAAGATACGTTGTGCCATTCAGGAGATTCTCTAAAAAATATATATCTATCTATCTAAACTTTCGCATTTATAATATTAACAATTGCTATTCTTTTTTAGGGGTTCAAGCAGGTCATAATTATTTGAAATTAGTAGAAATTAATAGTTTAACATCTATCAACTATTTTATTTCTGCTTATCCGCATTAAAAACATAAGAAAATTCGAGAATTTGCACATATAAAAAACTTGTTTAAATTTCGATTCTATTGACCACTTAAATGGGATTGTGGTCAAAGATCTCATCCGTCTTTCTATCAAAAATAAAAACAAAAAACAGATAACAGGAGTTAGATATAATAATTGTGATTATATAAGTCGCATAAATAAGTTTCGATAAAAGTTTTCGATGGTTAAAAGCATTCAAGGTCAGTGACCCGTTCCACCGGTTCACAGTCCGAATTAAACTATCGCTTCCTTTTTCATTAATACAGTTTATAAATTAGTAAAAGAATAATTACTAATATATAAACTATGAATAAACTTTTAGTTCCTTCTCTTGATTGATTAGAAAATGATGCAACACGATTAAAAATCAACGTGTATTAAATATAACTGTCGCTCGCGACTCCGTCTGCGCGGAGTTAAAAAAAATACCCAATTAGTAGCCTATGTGTTGTTCCAGACCATGTATCTATGCCTAATTTATACACGATCCATGCAGCAGTTCGCATTTATAATATTACAAGCTGTTGCCTTGACTCCGTCAACGCGTATTTAAAAAAATAACTTAATTAGTAGCCTATGTGTTCTTCCAGACTATGGTCTACATCTATGCCAAATTTCAGTCTGTTCTATGCAGCCGTTCCGGAGATAACTTCAAACAAACATCCATCCAAACATTTGCATTTATAATATTAGTAAGACTAGTTGGATTCTATAGAATGCTTCCTGTAAAATAAAGGTAAGTTAGTATGAATATGTACTGCACCTGTGTAATACCTAACTTGTCTACCTTACTTCACCTCCTTGAATCGATAAATACTAGTATTATACCCATTTAATAAACATCGACTTATTAATAACAAGAGTGATGAATAGTAAATAACTTATAAGCCTTATCTTACTAATATTATATATATCTATATATATTATAATATATAAAATATCTAATGAATTAACGATGATGCCATAACATCACTAGATTGACCTAAGTTTGCTGCGTAGCATCTTTTGCCAAAATGCTGCCAAAATTAGCAAGCACACTAAACTTTGGATGTCACTATATTATTAAAATATTGTTTCCAGCTTCAGCGGTAGTCAGGCGAGTAGCCAGGCAGCGTCGTTTAGCGGAGCTGGCGCCTCATTGTCGGGCTCGGCCGCAGCTGCAGCAGCTCAGGCCGGGAGCTTCGGCAGCCAGAGCACGTCCTCAGCTTTTGGCTTCAACTCTATCAACGATGGTTTTCCTCGACCTCAAGTAAATATTTAAAACTCTCTATTTATCTGCTTCGCCTTCAAAATTTAAACGATAAACGAAAGATGATTACCATAAATTGTGGACAATTGTATGGTAATCATTTTTTTTTCTTGCCAATAATCTAACTTAAGCTTTGGTTTATTTTCTTAAATTTTCGCCCGAATAATGCGAGAATGGTTTGCACAATTCCGAGTCTTTCGGATTGTTACGTTATTTAAACAAAGTTCATGGATTGCAACATCTGCAATATACACAATCATTCTTAAGATAAGTCTCTAAATCCATATACAAATTCCTTAAAAACTTGAGAAATGTACATCCGATTTATTATTTTTATCTTGGTATCTCATTTAAGATGAACTAGAAATGACGTAATATATCTACATCCTTGTGCCACAATTACGAAGTCATCATAATCATAAAACACATCCGTTTATGAAATTATATTCAACGACCCGCCCACGATTCAGGCTCTAAACGAATTCATATACTTGTAAGATGGAAATTCCGCTTGTTATGATGCCAATGGCCTACTCAAGTCAACATAATGCCCTTATAAACCATAACTTAGAACCTTAAGCTTAAATGTACCTAACACTTAACTTCTTAGAAATTGACTTGATATATCTTTACTTACGGATTAAATGAGGATAAAACAAAGTTATAACTTTTTTAAATTAAAAATATAACTGAAAACCACAATTTTTCTTACAATTTGTTTTTCAGGTATTACGTATTACTCATGACATGTTATTATTTTTTATATACCCAATAAAAACTACAGATTCTTATTAATAACTGCGACAAGGTTATAATTCTAAATTCGTATATTTAATAATTTCTATAAAACATTACTATATGTAAATTTTGATGACATAAGTGACACGTAATTATTCATTACTTACACATACTTGAGAACCGAATTATTTGAAATCAAGTTATATAACATTATATTTACTTTAGCATTATTATGTAACATATTTAATATGACCTTAACAGAGATATCCAACATTATACCAAGATACCTTTTATCCAAAACGCATACTTATTTTTTCTCTTAAATGAAAATCATGCGTATGTTTGGATAGATAGATGGATGGATGGATGGATGGATGGATGTTTGTTTGAAGGTATCTCCACAACGGCTGCATGGATCTCGCTCGCGGACGCTGAATTTGGCATAGATGTACTAATTAAGTTTTATTTTTAATTCCGCGCGGACGGAATCGTGGGCGACAACTTGTACATAATACAACTGAATCTGTGTATTTATAACAGTGATTTTGACAATTTGTGGGTCCTTAAAATACTCTTTGAAGGTCATCAGGATAAACTTTTTAGTTGTGTGATTGGTGGGAAATAATTTTACATGCAAAGGTGTTCGCGTCAAACAATATTTTATTGTATTAAATCCTACATAATTAACAACATTAAAATAACTATTTTTTAATTTCAGGCGTCGTTCGGGGAAGGTCTTCTCGACATAAGACATCGTGGCGTTCCGAACTTCCCCTTCCCTAACCTACTGGCCAGAAATAAGGGCTCCGGTGCAGCAGCATTCAGAAGTCTGAACAGACCCACCAGTAGGAACGGAGACGACTTCTTAGCTGTGCTAGTTTCTAATTAGGATTACGAAACGAAATTTATTCGAACAATTGTTAGCCTTTGATTGGCCTGTTTTGACAGATATGACTTATTTTTAACTCATTTTATTGATATTTTTGAGAAAAATTCAAACGATTTTATTATTCGTTGAACTGCCGAAATGGGTCTTACAACGTGGAAAGTATAAGAGATGTTAATTATTAATTAGTGTAATTTTGATACGAGTTACCAAAATAGTTTTAAAAAACAATCGATGTCAGTCAATTATGGATATAAGCTCTCTATAAAGAATTTATTTGTATTTAGATTATAATTTACTGTTTAAAACTTTATAAAGTATAATTCAACTTTGCTTAATCTTTTTAAATATTTACCATATGATTACTTACACTGTTTGAAGCAGTCCCGAACCGAAACTAAACCTTGAAAATGGAAATTAAGAACAATGACCCAAACAAAACACAATCTCATCAAAAAGAACATTTTCGTAAATGTTACAAGCAAAAGTATTAATACATTGCAAAATATTTACATGAAGACTATTCTCTAGTATCCAAGTTGCGTTACACAAATCATTACTTATCGACTTTGAACACTTATCTAGAGGTTATAAATTATTATAACCTAAATATATTTATTTATATCTATGTTTAGCACCTGCTTCGGCTTTCACAGCTTAGTTGGTTTCTGAAATCAAAATCTTTGTATAAAACATGTCGTCCCTCTTATTGTTTTGGACAAAACAGAGATAGCAATATGTTTTAAAAAAGGATTTTCATCTCAGATATTTACGTTTATACATATGTAAAAAAATTTTATATTCGAAATATTACATAACAAGCGATAAATGAACATTGCAGCGACTGACATTTTATTTATTACTAGTCAATAAGGCTTATAAAATAAAATGAAAATGAAAAGTATATGATTTTTATTATTCTTGTCATGAAACCCCAATTTGTGCATAAGCACTCCTTACTTAAAATTAATTAGTTAATTTGTAGTAATATAGTTAGTTGTTAAGAAGCGGCAGTAATTAGTATAAACTATGTCTTACAAGATGACCAGGGGATCTTTAATCCTTAATTATTCGAGTTTAGCAATGCTTACAAGTTTCAACCATAGTCTAAGGATTACCGAGGTTACTAAGTTTTTACATTTCGAAACTGATTAAAAGCCGTCTATTAAAAATCACTCCTTCGCTAAATTTCCTGCAGTACATAATAGTTTAGATATATCCTTGAAAAATAGTACTCCTTATTACATTTAATATCCGTCTTACATGAAGAAAATTTTGCTTCTATAAAATTGACAGGCGTTAAGTTTCTCTTTTATACTTTTCGTTTTTAATTCAGTGTTACACATCTATTCTCTGTACGAAAATACTATTTTATCCATTAAGAACGATGCGAGAGGTGCATCAGTATTTTATCTACCTACCTCCCCAAATTAACACTATTTTTATTATATTTTATAGTATGACAATTTGGACCTGAATAAGCCTCACCGAACTATCTTCATTTAAATGAGTTTATTCGAACCAAAACATAAAAGGAACAAAAGCTTTTAAACATTAACCATATTCACAGAAAACTTGCTAAAATGATGTAATCATAGTTTACAGGCTCCTCTATTTATATCTTATTTGTTATGGCATACTTTCAATTGTAAATATGAATTTGAAAACTAACACATAAAATCTTTGTCACATAAAAGGTTAATGCATATTTTTCCTGATAAAAAACAATGACGAAGGTACCATTACGCAATCGTTAAAAAAACTACAAGGCGATCCTCTATTGTAGAACAATTGACGTACTTATTGAAGATTCAGGATATTCCGATGACTCACGAAGAACCGCCAATGTGTTGATATATTAACATATCCCGCTGTACAGATTACAAATGGCCCTTAAGCTGGGCCATTGCCAGATTTGACGGTATACATTTAATGGTACATGACTCTTGAGGCGTTCCAAATTTGAATATAACATTTAACTCTTCATGTTTTATTTATTCTTTAATTATCTACTACTATTTTAATAACAGCAAATAAAGTTTTATAAATGTTAAAGAAATTCAATTGCTCCTAATGCAGCTCTATCAATAAATAATTAGCTGCGATTTTTCACCTTTTTTTTATTTTAAAAGTTGTGACGTCATTTAAACAATACGGCCAGTATTATTTGGTGCTGGTTAATGAAACTTTTTATGTCATTATTAGTTTCTTTACTTTGTTTAAAAACAAGATATATAAAGTATGTTAAATTATAATCACCAAACTTCCTGCATCTACCATAACCTTATTAAATATATATATTGTTTATCTTCATTACATCAAAAGATAACTCAAGAGGAAAATAATGTTAAAATATTAGTAAACTACAGATTAAACACCATAATATCTTCCACAGATTCAGAAATTTTTACGTAAAATGTAATTATTATATTAAAAGAAACAATAAAACTAAAGACCCGTACTTACCGGTAAGGTAAAGACTGGGTCAGATCAACTTAAAATGGCGACCACATCAGCTTGTATCATAAATTACTCGTATTATTAATGTGTTATTACTAATGTGAAATACTGTTTAATATACTATGATATCATCAAATGCGTGTCAAGCGTATTGAAAACTAAAATATAATTTTATTGAATTCCATATTAAGGAAAAACCCGCATCGGTAGACTTTTTTTAAATGGCAAGTTTTCGTGAACTGGACATAAGTGAATTTTAATTTTAGTACACATCAAGTTCGCCGTATGTCAGAGAAGTCGGACATTCGAGTTTTATACAATAATTTTATTAAGTGTTATAGTGAAAATAGTTTTGTGTAAAAAGTAACAATGGTAGGGGATTTCTTTGTTGTGTTAACATCATGTCTATTTATAGTTTTCGTTAACGGATGGACTGTATTTCCCTTACCAAACACTCCGTACCAGCCTCATGCAACTCCTGCGTTACAACCGACATGGCAGAAACCAAACTGGTACCAGAATTGGAACCAGCCGTCGGCCCAGCCGTGTGTAGAAGGTTCAACGGCATCTCCAATAATTGCACCGGGTTCTATCCCGTCACCCGCCTTACCACTTATAGTACCTAAAAAGCCTTCAAGATCGCAAGTATCTGTCATGAGTACGGATGAATATTTGACACCAACAGCTGTCCTAACCTCTCCCCAATACATGTCAACTTGGGAACCCTATTAAATAAAGACAGCACAATAAATACCAGAATGATGGAGTTTTATTGTACTTTAAATTAAGGTATGTTTACTAAAATAATATAATTAACTTTACGCATAAACATACAATGTTTTGCACAGATAATTTTTATTATAGATTTCCCGAACACTTAAAACTCTCTTTAAAATGTCATGAAATCAACGTAAGTACGGATTACTAAAAAACTATAGCTATATTTCTGGTAATCACAAAATATTTTCATAGTATGTATACGTTATTCTCTGGGAGGTTTTGTTTCGCGCGTTGCAGACACAAGGCTACTGTGGATTCCCCAGTCGGAGACCGGACAAACAACTAACATACCGACGAAGCCTCGACTAGATAAACAACTTTATTTACGCGTTATTACTATAAAAAAACCTAACGTCCGTACGTTTATTAAATACACTATAATTATTAACAATCTCAACATTTAAGTTTTTATATGTTTATTTTAGTTTCATATTATGGTGATACTATCAAGTATTTGCAATGCATAATAGTAGTAAGTGTTGCACTAGAAGCTTAAGAGAAAGTTCCGCAAATCTATATTTGACATAATCAAACTAATATTATAAATGCGAACGTTTAGGTGGATGAATGAACGTTTGTTTGAAGGTCTATCTGAAACAGGTCAACCAATATCTATGAAATTTGGTATAGTTGTACAACATAGTCTGGAAGAACATATAGGCTACTAATTATTTTTTGATTCCGCCCGGACAGAGTCGCGAGCGACTGCTTGTCTATTAATAAACCTACGAGTATGCAAACATATGGCAAAAGATGGTGTATCAAAAAATCAAGATAATGACGCAAATTCTAAATTAAACAAGCTTTAAGTTGGTTGAATAATAAGTTTTGTAATTAAGTTAATTTAGCAATTAATAAGTTAAGTAAGGTTTTGGTATTAAGAACTAGATGGCGTTTTAATCAATTTTTATAAACGTCGCGAAACAAGGCATTAATGATTTTAAATTGAAAAAGTACTAAAACTGGAATGTATCCGCCAAAATCATATTTAAATTTTGATCGATCCCAAATATAATTCTCAAGGACAAAATCTAAAAGGAATATAAAACATTTAACTCAACCTTTCGCAAATCGTGATCTTATTGGATTCACAACAAACGTATATAATGCCTTCCTATTTACTAACAACGACATTTTGCTTTAGGCACGATGAGTTTAATTCATAGAATAGATAAATTGAGAATTATTATATTAGTTACGTTATTATTAATAATACTAATTAATGTATCTAGTGCAGATTTATTAACAACTAAAAGTTATGTAGGATTAATTTTTTCCGTGCTAGCTCCGCCTAAGAATTCCAGAGCGCGTGTAACGGAGACAGCTAAAGACTATCCAGTTCTGTTGCTACTGGCTAATAAAAATAATAGTTATAAGTATTCGCCTAGAATGGGAGAACAATCGGAACCTATTTATGTAGAGGTAAGGAATCAATCCTGTACCACTTATATCGTTTTGACCTATTTCATATAGGATATATATAATAGGAGTCGTTTAAGCGTCGGTGACTCAGGTGTTAAGCCCTTGACTTGCAATCTGCAATATCCTAGGTTCGAATCCCGCCATGTACCAATGTGTTTTTCGATTTACATTTATCCACCGTTCTTACGGTGAAGAAAAACGTCGCGATGCGACCTGCACATATCTGAGAATAACTTCAAATATGTGTGAAGTCAACCAACCCGCTCTGGGCCAGATTGGTTGACTAAGGCAACCCTAACTTAGGGTAGGCTCCGAGCCCCTCAATGGGGACGTATGGTGAGCTGATTATGAAAGTTTCGTTTAACTGTTTTTAAATATTACGGTGAAAACCCACGGAAAAACAACTGCGCATACTTGTAAAGACGGTTAACGGATGTATTAGCATTGTCTGATGACACTGTCGTCCTTTGAAAGTCATAGCGCTTCATTACAATTCATCGTAAAAGTTAGAAGCGTGAAACTATTTCCATCCTGCTCTCTTAGATGCCTCTAAGATGCATACGAACAGCTAGATTAAAACAACTGATAATATTAATAAATGTAACTATACAATTTGAAACCATGTCATCTTTAATATGCTTTGTTTTAATACTTTAGAGCTTTTGTTTAATGTTTGGGAAATGCCGCGAATATTCGAGTGTATGATAAGAGTGGATTTTGTCAGACTCGCACCGACATAATCACGATATTCCTAAAAAATAACTTATTCTTCTTCAATTTCGTATAGACAATATAGCAATGAGGAGCAAATGTTGGAAATTCTTCATTCATTTAACCAAAGTACCGGGTTTTAAATTATTCAAACTTTCGTGAGATATTATAATAAACTGATATAAACACGGCTAAACACTCACGTATATTGGTCCGGTGGTGGCACCGACTAGTTTCGAGCCCATCGTGGGCCCTTTATCAGGATGAATGGTACTGGTATAATTTCACGGCCGCGAATATATCTGAGTAGTTAACCGTTTCATATCAGTGTATCGGGTTTTAGTGGGTTTGTAAGTAATTTGACTAATGACTATATACTATGCAAATATTAATTAAAGGATAAACCCATAATCAACAATTAACTTGTTTTACCATTCTCTAGTGTTCACTTACATTTATAACATTTAAAGATCAAGGCTCAAGTCGGAAATATTATGTAATTTGATATTTAAAAACAGTAAACATCGATTTAAGTATTTACGTATATTTAAGATTATTCACACAATGATTCGAAATTAATTTACAAGCATGCCAACTACGTATAATACGTTCGAACTAAATAATTATTCTTAAAGGTCTTTTTCCACTAAGCGGCTACACGCGCAAAACACGCGCGATTATCATTTTGCATAGCATTCGAGGACGCTTGAATGGAAATAGAACAAGTGACTACATAAAAATGGCGCCGTGCTAATCGCTGAGCGGATGATACCAACGGTCTTGTCAACAAGCTATGGAAAATCGTATGTTTATAATTTTCTTTTCTTTTGTTGCAGAGACTAGAAGAACGCATCAACCCCAGACATGCAATTTTATAACAATTTCAATGTTTGTATTATATATTTTTAAAAGCAATTAGTTTAAAATTTGTTACAATCTTTTGCTTCTTAAGCTATCAATAAAAACTGTTGAACATATTTAATTTTTTTTTACATAATTACTAATTATTTTATACTAGCAGTCGCCCGCGACTCCGTCCGCGCGGAATTAACAAAAAACTTATTGATTAATCTATGTATCCTTACAAACTATGTTCTAAATCTGTGCCAAATTTTATCAAGATCCGTTTAGCCGTTCCGGAGATACCTTCAAACATCCATCCATCCATCTAAACATTCGCATTTCTTATATTAGTATTAAGCCTATAACGTATTGCCGTCAATAATAACTATCGGAAATATATTTAAGGTCGTATATGCATTAATAACATCAGATAAACATAATATGTTTCATCTTCAACAAAGAAAAAGAGTAAAGTTCAATGCCAGCGTATACGGCAGTCAGATGTTTTTTTTTCAGATGTTGCTTGCTCTTCCTTAATATGTAGGTGGTGTCAAAACACGATTATACGTCACCATTTTATATGAACTACCATGAAAGGTCGTTTAATAAATAAGATATAATCATTTTTATTGTACTACATTCCTCTGATACATTTATCGTTTATAAAAATATTTTTGCAAACATCATGGAACCTCTACCTTATTGTTTAAATTATATTACTTTTCATAATTACTCGTCAGCCCATATTCGGTGATCGTCGACGATTAAATATCATTTTCAAGAAGAGAAGTTAGCGAAGAGACAGAGAAGAAAGTAAAAGAAGATAGAGAAGATGATTTTCTCTACACGTTGTGTCGCATGGAGAAGACCTGTTCTTGTTATTAAAAATACTTCAACGATAAATAACGTCTTCACATTAATATTTATAAAATTTTCCAAACGCTAAATACGCTTAATACGTTGCCGTTTTTATAGCATTTGATCCGCTGTTAATTAACCCCGGTTATATGATGAGTAAGTAAAAAATATTATAATCATAATATACGATTTTTATTACCTATAAGAGCGTTATTAGCGCAGCTGTTAAGTGCTTGATCATACCGAATCGAAATGTACACGTCCAGATTCGATTCCTATGATGTACCAATTAGTTTTTCGTTTTAAGAATTTTCATCCATCATTTATTCATCCGACATTCTTACGGTGAAAGAAATTTAATGAGAAGTTAACTAACCCGTACTGGACCAGCATGGTTATGACCTATGGCCTAGTCGTCCATAATTTGAGCAGACTCCGAGCCCCACGGTGGGGACATATTTAAACTGCTTTATCATGAATATTTTCCTCTTAAAGGAAATTGAGACACTAAAAAAGATGAGAAGAAGAGATACGCAAACAATCCATGGATTCGCTCATTCTACTTTGCTTGACATTGGGAAATTTGTAATTGATCTATTACCGAACCCGGACACGGGTTTAACCCATTATCTTCCAATATAAATAGAGTAATAATGTATTGAATCCATAATTCGTCGATTCTGTGCACGTTCGCCGTCACCGCATATACCTTCTTGCATTTAAAAGATGCTATGACATATATTTATTCAATTTAGAAATGACGTTAGCCTGCAATAAAACTTATCATTTGTTTTCTGTTGTTTTCAATTTAATCTCGACAACTTAATTTCTTTCGGTCTTTACCTAATTGTTTAGTATTAAAGACACGTTTTGTACTTATTTTTGTGGACAACTATAGATGGATATACTTATAAATATGTTCTTAGGAAAGCATAACATGGATGAGACTATAACTATCCTTCGCAAATATATTATACCAAACTTAACAAAAAATTGTGAACAACTAACACGCAAAAAGAAATATTATCATTAAATTGTAAATCATGCCAAGAAAACTCCCTGTCACATCTTCTAGGGTTCTTTTTGAATTCTTCAACAGCAAAGAGATTCCGAGAGGGAGCTACCTCGGCAGACGGGGTCGTGGACGAGAGCGAAAGCGTGCCCGTGGTCCCGTCCTGATGCGTTGGAGGAACAGAGAGGTTTAGTGGGTATGCCTCCGCTATGGAGGAGAATCCCACATAACTACCGCGTCCCCTCCGGGGCGCGGAGTATACATAAAGCATTCCTCTCTGGAAAAAAAAACGTGCGAAGAGATTCATTTTATTTTTCAATTAAAAAAATGAAAATAAGTACTCTTCACCGATGGAGCTGATTACGCTAGTTCTCCATTAGATTTTTATCAAAATGGATAAAAAAAACACAAAAAATAACAACTGTGAGCTACACGTATTGCAAATAACGTAAAGATAACAAAAAAATCATTGCAATGTTAGACGAAAACCAGTTTCACGGTAATTCCTTCTAGTTAGAATAAAACTTAGGCAAAAACCTGTAACGTATTCATCGTTTCTGACTTATATTATCAAACTAGCTGTAGCCAGCAACTCCGTCCGCGCGGGATCAAATAGGAACTTAATTAGTAATGTGTTCTTTCAGACTATGTTCTACATCCATACCGAATTTCAGCGAGATCTATGCAGTCTGGAGATACCATAAAACAAACATCCATCCATCCAAACATTCGCATTTATGAAATTAGTAAGATTATTGACAATGTTAATAAATGTAATGACAGACTTTGAGCACAAAAACTAATACGACCTACCTAAATATCATTCATCACGTATTAGGATATTCACCTGCCTTTAAATTATTATGTTTTGTATTCGTACTCGTATGTTAAAAGATTTTAAAAATGATAATTTTTAAATATATGTCGTCAATGTGGTTGTCTATGGCCAGCGTGGTTGACTATGTCCAACTTGGGGTAGGCTCCGAGCCCCTTGGTGGGGACAGATAGTGAGCTGATGATGAGCTGATGATTTCGTCAAAAATAGATTTAAAAAAAAAATCTCCTTGAAAAAAATGTTTCCAAAATTCAATTTAAAATTATATAATTTCTAAACAATAAGATTTTACATAAAATACTAGCTGTCGCCTTCGACTCCGTCCGCGCGGGATAAAAAAATAGATAGTAGCCGATTCTCAGACCTACTTAATATGCATATAAAATTTCATCATTTTAAAATAGGTCAAGCCATTTCGGAGTCGTATGGTTACTTTATGATACGAAAATTTTATATATAAGATTTTTTGTAATTTTTTTTATCATTATTTACATATTTCATGTGATTGCAGACAAAACAATTATCCGGATTCTTAAGGAAAAACCTTTTCCACGTTTAATAGGATTTTACCGATTACTAAGTACCTATTATGTTACGTTCAAAGCAATCTTAATACAGCCACATAATTACATAAAGTTGATGTTTCATACGATATTATTTCCTGCAAACAGATATCACGTAACAACCGTGACGATGATAAGCAAAAATAATACTAATGAATACTAAATACTATAACATGTTTGATTTATTTCATTGGATGTACTTAGGGTAAGTTTAAGACTAACGGTGATGACACATACGGGCCGAGGACAATGGAATCTAGGGAAAAATTAAATCAAAACATTTTTAAAATGAAAATAGATTAATTGATGACACGTCACCTTTAATTAAGTACACCTCGGAATTTGTTTTTATATTTTTTTTAATTTGATTTTTTTTATTAATCTTACAGTAAATATATTCTGCTACCGTAAGACGCGTTTATGTTAATTTTTTTACAAGTACAATAACATATAAACTTTCTTTAAATAGAAATGAAATGAATTTTCATAGAATTAGTTCTCTCATTAGATTCAAAGGTCACAGATGCACTCAACAGTTGTGCCACAAATTTGTAGAACTCAACATCTCTAGTTTTTTCAAGATCGATTTGAATTCGCAGCCTTCCATTTTCAAATAAAACAATTTTTATTGACTCCAAACAAGTGGAATTAAAAGAGCAACCGCTACTGTTCATGTTAAAATGTAACCATACCGACTTGGGTGTCCGGTTTAAGGGAATAACCAGATTTATACGTGAACGGACTCTGCAAGTTATCCGCGCGGTATAACAACGTTATAGAAAATTTAATATCAAATAATAATTACTCATAAAAATGCATAACAGTGTCAAAGCCTACTTTTTATAACGTCACCGTGAGAAAATATTCTACGAAATATCTTGCGAATAGTGACGTATGATGGCGTCAGATCGAATGTATAAATAGGTCGCGACAGCACGTCCCGCGGCAGTACACAATGGGATTCAGTGTGGTGGTGAGCGTGGTGGCATTGGCCGGTCTGGCCTGCGCCACAGTCGGTGACAATGCCCTAGACTCCGGCGAAAGGGTGGTGCTTGTTGCACCTGTGCTTGCGCCCCCCAAGGACTCCAGGACCCACGCTAATGATCGATCTAGACAGTTCCCGATACTTGTGCTTTTAGCTCAAGAAAGCCAGCCTCCCAGTGGACGGGAGACCTCCGCTAAATCTTTGGGAATCAACCCTCAACCTATTTACGTACAGGTAACGTTGAAATCTTTTATATGAAAAATATAAAATAAGGAAATTTCTAGTAATTTTCTTCATAATAAAATTAAATCTTTAAAGAATTAAATTATCATATCATTATAAATAAGTATTAACATAATGCTACTTTTGTATAGTTCGAAAATAATCCTATCCAAGGTGATATTGGGATGTGTACGAACGAGTTTTGAGCTGTTTTAAGTGCAAAAAATAGTGTAATAATTTTATTATTACTATAAAACCTGTTTCAGAAGCACAAGACCTCGACTCTTTTGAGATTTAAGTCACTCATTAAAGTAATTAAAAATATTACTTCTTAAATTTACCTACGTATCACAAAAACATGTTTGTTAAAATATTATGAAAGTTTAAATCTTAGTCGAAAGAAGTTCAATAAGTTCCTCAAAGAAAAAAATTGCTTGATAACCAGTGATACTATTTCAGATTTTTAATTGTAATTTTACCATTAAAATATTCGATATCCACAAATAAAGACCGAATTATTTATCTCTATATCAAATTCACTTGATTTTCCTACTTTTCCATCATTGATTGGAGCTCTTGGAAGTAGTTGTTCAGTTTTCCATTTCAAACGAAAGTATCGGTAAACATCGTATTTGGGCTCTTAGGACCAAAAAAAACTAAAAACACATCTCTATAATACATCGTTCAATTTAACAGCCACAAAATGTTTACTAATTTTAAGTTATAATTATTACAGAAACTAGAGGACCAAGAGAATGCTCAGGCAGTCAGGCCAAACAGACAGAAGAGGCATCTCCTGAAGAGTTTACTTCTCGGGGGAGGAGGTGGAGGTGGGATCTCTTTTGGCGGAGGTTTCGGCCTCGGCGGAGGCTACGGCGGAGGTTACGGCGGCCATGGCGGCTACGAGGAGCCAACCAAAACTATTGTATTGGTGAAAGAACATGGTAAGCAAATATTAAATTTATTGTATAAATATTACGTTACGATAATGACTTCCTCGTTACATCACAAAGACTGTTTATTACAAATGATGCAATTTAAACATGTAAAGGATTTAAATTTAAAATGTATATGTGACTGTAAAAGGCTGAATTAAAATTAATTATAAAGTTTTCCGACATGAGTTGATACATAAATAATTTATGGAATATTATAGTTAAATTTTATAATTTTTCAAAATTCTCTGTATACTCGTATGTTTGTCGTCTATTATAAAGTTAAGTAAACTAATATATTAAGTAATAATATATAATAAAAACTAGGTATATGTTTTACGGGATGAAAATAATTTATTTTGTTGAGAAAGTTCATACACATATGTACTTAAATGATGTATTTATGCATTATTAACAGTTAATATCAATAACAAAATATACAAGTCAAAGAAGAATAATACAGAAGCTTAAGTTTTTCTTTCCATTGCATAAAAATAATACTAACAATAATAGTAAATAATTATGTACATTTTATTTGCATAATTATAAATGTCCATTTAAAGAAGTTAAAAATAATCCATTTGCATTTATATCACCGAATGTCGTAAAAGAATAAGAAAACGTATCGATATCAAATGTAATCGTTTTAGTTTGTTCATTTATGAAATGTGTCTTCCAGGTCATGGCAGAGGTTACGGCGGTGGCTACGGTGGTCATGGTGGCTACCATGGTGGATATGATAACGGCGGCTACGGAAACGGAGGCGGGTATAACAACGGCGGGTACAACAACGGC